TGCCGCCTCCTTTTCCGCCGACAAATTTCTTCGCTTTTGCTGCACAGGGCGCTTTCCTTCTTCCACCGCCAGTCGATGCACGGCCGTCTCGGGGGCGACACCCGGCATTTCCAATGCACTCCAGGCGAAAAGCTCTGCGAACTCCCTCAGAAGGGCGATGATGCGCTCTTTCACTTCATCAGGCGCCTCCGCTGATATCCTCACTTGTCTTTCCGGGCGTTCCAAATCTAGCGCCACCATAAATTCTTTGTCGGCCGCTTCGGCTCGGGGCGCCTCTTCCGCCGAGATTTCCACCATATTAACTGTTTCGTTACCCTTCCGCTTTCGTCCTATCTCTCTTGCGTAGCGCGGGGCGCCCCTTCCGCGTGCGACGCCTACTCCTTGTGGCGCAATGAACTTCAACGTCTGATGACAAGTGGAGGCACGGCGTTAAACAAGGCCAGGAGGGGCCTTCCCAGAATCGCGTTGTATGGCGACGGGCAGTCCACTATTCCAAAATCGATGGCACGTGTCATCCTCTGCTCCCCATCCCCCAAGGTAACTGGTAGGTGTACACGCCCTATTACCTTGGCGGGCGCCCCTGAAAAGCCAACTAACACCGATTCCGTGGGCCTGATCAGTTCTGGTGATAGTTGCATGCGGACCACTGTGTCCTTGAATAGCACGTCCATTGAACTCCCTGTATCAACGAGCATTCTTCTGACCTGGCACCCCGCCACCACACCTTGTATCTCCAGGGCGTCCATGGATGGGAGCATGCACGCTTCTTCGGGCGCCCTATTGAAACTGATGTCTATCGCCTCTTGGACCTCCGCCGACGCCGCTCTCAAGCGACGATTTGCCTCTATCTTCTCTCTCAAGTCCACTGTCCCCGAAATGGCCTCTATTGTCAGGCGCACCCGCTCAGGAGCATTTTCTTGGTCGAGGTCGTATGGCGGTGGTGGTAGCTCTTCCACTGTTTTTCCTACACCGGCCACACAGGCCCGGTGCACTCTATCTTCAGGCTTCTTGACGAAGTCATTGAGCATCCCCCTGTCAGCCAAGCCCTGCAACTCGGTCTTCAATTGGTAGCAGTCGGCCGTGTGGTGCCCCACCTCTCGGTGGAAGTCACAATATCGATCCAAGTTCCGCTCATTGGGCTGCCCCCTCATGGGGCCCGACCACCTGATATGATACCCCTTCTCCTTGACGTGTTGGAGTATGTTCTTCAGCGTGTCTGTATATTCGGCAAAGGGTCCCCTGGGTGCCGGACGTCCAGCGTCCATTCTCCTGGGAGGAGGGGGGTTCGCGGGCGCATTCCCCGGTCCGTTTGCAAAGTGCGGCCTCCTCGACGGTTCCGCCTCCTCTCCTTTCGTCCTTCGTCGGTCGGCCCTTCTGGCCGCCAACGTTTCTTCGAGCATAATTACCTTTTGCACCCGGTGATCCAGGTCTTCAGTGCACACCACATCCCTCTTTGCGAGTGCTCTGCACAATTCCTCGCTGGTGGTGCACTCGTTCAGGCACACCCCTAACACTGATGGCTGCACGTCCTTCACTGCCAGAGCCACAGATAACCACCTCTCATAAAACTCCCTCAGCGCCTCTCCCTCTCTCTGCTTGATCTTGAACAGGGCGCCTATAGTTAAGGTGCGCCGTTTCCTGCTGGCAAACTTTGCCAGAAACATCTCTGCGAATTGCTCAAAGCACTCAATGCGCCCTTCTCCGATTTGATAGTACCAATCGAGCACCACGCCCGAGAAAGTCGACGGGAACACTTTGCACAGGGTGGCGTCTGTGCTGTTGTAAAGTTGCATCTTGGTAAAATAACCGTTGAGGTGGTCCTCCGGGTCAGTGACCCCATCATAGGCGGGGAGCGGGGGGATGTTGGTCCCTGCAGGCTCCGCTAGTATGTTACGCGCCAACGGCTGTCTCACAGGTCCGTGACGGGACAGGCGCCCCAAAACTCCCCCATTCCATCCTCCCGTCTCCAGCCCCTCGTACTCTCGTGGGCGCCACAAACTGGGGCGCCTCTGATATCTCGATTCACTCTCCGTCTCCGCAACCCTTTCTCTTTTCTTCGTCGGACTGGGGGTCACCTCTCCTCCTCTCTTCAGGGCGTCAATCTCCCTTCGGAGCGCCTCTATTGCTCCATCTTGGTCCTCAATGATTCTGAACAGCTCTCTCCTTGTTATTGAGGCGTCTTCCAACCCTCGAAACACGTCATCACTTTCCTCCCTTTCCTCCATCTCAGGCGCCAGCCCTCTCAATCGTTCCGACTGGTCCTCCTTGACCTCCTCCCTTTCCCTTCCATCGCTCACCTCCATTTCCTCACTCATGATTTCAGGTTATATTCCCCTACCTGGCGCGCCAATTGTTTGAGCCACAATTCCCACTTCACTGTCCGGACGTCTCCCTTCACCTGAAGTCGACCTACACACACACACACACACACAGAGGAGGGCGCCTGGCCCGTGAGTCTTCCGACGCCCAAGTTAGTCTTTTAGAGAGAGTAAAGTTCTCAAGTGGTATTTTAGTGAGAGAGAGTCCCCCATGTGTAAATGCTACCAACTGCCCCTATTTATACTCACCAAACTCGAGGTTGATCTCCTCCACGTCATTGTGCCCAATTAATGCTCTGTACTCTCTTTGTCAGGCACCCCAACCACCCTGTCAGGCTTCTGACGCGTGACAGGCGCCCCCAGGTGATGGACCACCTGACAGCCTGGACTCCTTTGGCCTTTAGTGTTTTGTCTTCATGCGCCCTTCCTCTTATTTGGGCCTTGAGGTATTTTCCAGGACCCTCTTTTGGGCCTTGCCCCCCAAGTCCCTTGTCTGGGGGCCCAAACTCCTAATTGCTGGGTAATACCCCCAACAAAAATAAAACGCAGGTGACAAGTTTTTGCCATTACATTATTAACAAATTAAATATCATGACATTAATAATAAATAACCGTATCAGTTTTTTCCAATGTTTGTTTTAAAGAATTAAAACTTCACTATTAATAAATATCGGACCATTATCAAAGAATGGTTCAAACTATCTTTCATAGATAAGGAGCATTACATTATTATTTTTTATGAATCTTTCAATGAAATATAAGAACGTTATTAAAAAATATCATACCATTATTAATAAATATAGTCACGCTAGCATAACACTAATTCCCTTGGATTTTTCAAACAAATAGGACCACTCTATTAATAAATAGCATACCATTATCAACCACACTCGGCATCTCATTCAAATATGTATAAATATCTAGTATTAACAAATACAATATGAATATCAACGAAAACGCGCCACTATTCAAAAAAAAAAAAAACCACGACCTCAATAGTTCTAATATTAACATTTAAAAGCGACCTATTAACATTTTAAGTCAAATATATTAACCGACGAAGATATGATCCTATCCACGGCCCATACCAATCACAAAACCTCGCCGACACTCCATGTCGGTGTCAAACAACGACCGCCCTTGAACAGGAGTTGTCGTCGAGCACGTCTGCGGCGGAACCCTGCTGGTCTGCAACGCTGGGATGCGGGGGCTGGCGTTGAGGACGACGAGGTCGGACGGCGGAGTGAGGCGGACGAGATCGGACGGACAGATGATTGCGGCGGACGAGGTTGGACGGACGACTGATTGCGGCGGACGAGTGAGGTTGAACGGTTTCACTTTTTTTGGCGGACGTAGAAAGGTATGGGGTTTATTTTCCTTGTTTTCCGTTGTCAATGAATTAGTAAATTTCTTCCTAATACCAAATTTACCCCTAATAACGATTAACTAAACAACCTGCCGAAAATTAACTAAACTACTTGCAGCCAATAGAATTAACTTAAGCATATGCTTAAGCTTCTAGGCTTAGCACTGGATCTAACCCGCATCAAAAGCACAAAAACTCTCTTAGAAAGGATTAAATACATGTCGGAACGAATATGAGATACAATCCGCGTGGCTAGATTCTCAGTTAAGGAAGTTTGGATTGATCTCCAAACTTGTAGTCCAAGATTAGCAGGCTTCTTAATTTGGACTATTTACTCAATTTTCCAACATAGTGTTGCATGGTTTGTTAGTCGCAACCGCATTACCACGTGGGATATGCTAAAGTAGTGGGGGCAAAGTAAACGATGACAATTGGGTTGTTATGCAAGGTAGGGTTTGGAGACTTGAGACACATATTGTTATAAACGCGCTGCTACGGATTGGGAAATCGCCGGAATCGATAAAGTAAGAATACGAAAATGCAAATTGAAAAACACAGATACACGATTTACTTGGTTCACTAACACAATGTGTGTTAGCTAGTCCACGGGTGAGAAAAAGCCAGTTTCACTGTATCGAGGAGATTACAAATTACAGAGGAGTATGAGAAGTATTTATAGTACTTCTCCATGTGGGTCTAAACCTAATCCAATCTGGCAAAGGAAACGGTTACAGACCAGACCCAGAAACCGAACCCAAATAACATTGAGCCCATACACAACGGATCGAGAGCGTTGCGGCTGATAATCCGATTCAAGTCACATCAACACATATTATTCTTTCACCGTCCATGCTCCTCTTGAAGAAAGTCTGAAGTTTCCCGCCCATCGGTCTGAACTCTGATCGAGGCCGAGGGTTACTTGAATTGGGTCGTAAGTCACTTCGCAGGAAAGAACATGAAGAAACACATAGCGTGATATTAGCACGAGGAGAGCAGCGAAATATGCTGACACAAACTGGAGATTGATGAGCTGCGCCCATGCCGACGCCATGGTGGCACGAATAGCGGAGAGGAAGTAAAGTAAGTGGGTGCATCTGTTGACTTTTGATGACTCTCGAGGAAGTTTCCCCATCCCATGATCAGAAAGAAGCTTACTATTATTATTACTACGCATTAATAAAATAAAATAGAAAAAAGATTAATGAAAGCTATTACGTTCTTCTTGTCGGTCGATTTTCTGATTATAAGTACCAAGAGCCATTTCCTCCTCTCCCCTCCCACAAATTTCACGCTCTCTCGAGAAGCAAACTGAAAAAATGGCGAGTTCCCGCTCCTACTGCCTTCTTCTGTTGCTAATCGCCTCCGACTCCTTCAGTTGCCACGTACTGGGAGCTAAGCACTTGGATGGTAATTTAAAAAAAAAAAAAAACCCCCTTGAATACATTGGTCGCTGTTTTCTTTTCCCTGCACCTAATCTCCCCCACTTGTTTACATTCTTAACAGGGTTCCTGAACAACGGGAACTTCGAGCAGAGCCCAAAGCCCAGCAACCTGAAGAAAACGGTGCTGAAGGGCACCAGGTCGCTTCCAGGGTGGGAAACAAAGGGCCTGGTGGAGTTCATTGCTGGTGGGCCGCAGCCCGGCGGGATGTACTTCCCCGTGGCCCACGGGGCCCACGCGGTGAGGCTGGGCAACGAGGCGACCATCTCCCAGACCGTGGCCGTGAAGCCAGGCTCGCTCTACGCCCTGTCCTTCGTCGCCTCCCGAACCTGCGCTCAAAACGAGGTGCTCACCGTCTCCGTGCCGCCGCAGTCCGGAGATCTGCCGCTCCAGACCTTGTACTGCAGCAACGGCGGCGACACGTATGCCTGGGGATTCAAACCGAACACAACCCTCGTCAAGATCACGTTCCACAACCCCGGTGTTCAAGAAGATCCCGCCTGTGGCCCTCTCATCGACGCTGTCCACCTTAAGGAGCTCCTCCCTCCATTTCCCACCCGAGGTAACGTGCCGTACGTATACAAATTGTTTGTCTTTTGCAACCTATAGTAGATGGTGATACTTGTGTGATTAGATTATGGACGATTGTTCGTAGTATGTTCTAGGCAGGGGCGGAGCCAGGATTTCTACACCGGGCGAGACGAAAATAATAAAATGTAAATAAAAATAATTATTTTAGAAGTATACAACGTTCTTTGAAATCATTGAAAAATCACTAAAAATAGCATCTAAACTAAATGTTTTGCTACCTTTCTTTCAATACAGTCTAAAAATCATTGAAATCACTCAAAATAAAACAAAATGTGAGGTAGTGGTGAATTGAAACTGGGTGCTCCAAGCTAAAAACTAAATTAGCTACCAATAGACTACATAATAATTGTATGAACTAATGTTCTGGCCGAGTATGAATTAATTTTTGCCATAGATAAAAAAACTGTTTTTTATAGTAAAAACAGTTAGGCCCATATGCAATTGCAAGTTAATTGCACTAATGTTGGTACAATGAAAGTAAAGTGAGTTGGCTTGCAAAAATAATGTTGTGTAAAAAAAAATACAAATGCAATTGCATCAATGGAGATGCTTTAAGATTTCTTTCTTGAACAAAAACTCTATTTTTTTTTTATTTTTTTCATATATTCCATGATCGAAACGTGAGAGAATACACATTACACCACGATTTTGAATTAGAAGAGATATATATATGAAGCATATTAATCTGATCCATACATATATATACACAGACAATTTGGTGAAGAATCCAGGGTTTGAGGAAGGGCCCCGCAGGCCTTTGACCCACAGCGGCAACGGAATCCTCCTCCCGCCAAAGCAAGAGGACAAAGTCTCCCCACTCCCCGGCTGGATCATCGAGTCCCTCAAATCCGTCAAGTACATCGACGCGCAGCACTACAACGTCCCCGTCGGAAAGTCGGCGGTGGAGCTGGTGGCCGGTCGAGAGAGCGCCATCGCTCAGATCATCCGGACCGTACCGGGGAAGCTCTACGCCCTCACATTCGCCGTCGGAGATGCCAAAAACGAGTGCCACGGCTCAATGGCCGTCGTCGCCTTCGCCGCCAAGGACAGCTTCACGGTTCCCTTCCAATCCAGCGGGGACGGCAAGTTCAAGAACGCCAGCTTCAAGTTCAGAGCCATCTCTGCAAGGACGAGGCTCACTTTCTTCAGCTCCAATTACCATACCAGGAAAGACGATTACGTCTCCCTTTGCGGTCCGGTTATTGATCAAGTCAGGGTTTTCCCCATTAAGGCCTAGTTACATTGGTTAGATCAATAATTAATGCATGTAACGTTTTCGTTGCTTAACCTGTTGCACTTGGGATTTAATTAAACTACACACGATGATAGTCAAATTGGAAACTCGGAACACGCAGCTCTATTTTATATGTGACATTTGATGATGTTTTTTCTTGTCACTACAACGTTATCGGAATCAGTGTCAAGTTTTCCCCCCCACTATTGCATGCATTTTACCTTGTGGTGTGGAGATCAAATCTTAACGTAAGAAATTTCCAAAACTTTGCTCTTGAATGAAACCCGTCCCTAACTTCTCCTCCTTCTCTTGTTCATCACTTTCTCAATCTAAAAATTTGAAAAAGAAGAAAGAAGTCTCTCTCACTAGGTTCTCCCCTCCCCCCTTTCCCTTTCAGCTCAACCCTCCTTAGGTACCCAGATCGACGACATTTAACGGTCCCAGTTCACGGCCGTGAATATTGGGCTTGGACCGTGATGTCAAGCAAAAGCGTGTCGTTTCGCTTAGGCGCTTCACGGTCTGGAGCGGCCGCGAGGTATGCAAAACCCTCCTGGACTCCATGTGCTTAACGGTCTGGGCCAACCACAAACAACATTCGAATGCATTAAGAACGTGAAAACGAAAAGTTCTCACCCTGTTCACAAATCAATACCAGTCTCGACAAGACTACTCACCAACCACAACTAACCATGCATAGAGTTCAAGTCCAAGGAACAAACGAATTGACGACATATGTATTGCTTCATGTTGCTTCATATTGCTTGTGGTGTGCTTTTATAAACTTGTGGTATGCTTTAATCAACTTGTGGTGTGTTTTTATGAACTTTGTGGTGTAGTGAGATTGTGGTATGCTTCTTGGGACTAGTGATATATTTTATGATATTTATGGTATGCTTTAAAAACTTGTGATATGCTTTAATAAACATATAATCAACTTTATGAGATTTCTATAATATGCTTTAGGGGACTTGTGGTGCGTTTTAAGAAACTTGTGGTTAACTTTAGTGAACTTGTGCTATGTTTTATGAGATTTATAGTTACACCACAAAAAAGACAAATCACACCACAAAACTATAAATGCAAATCATAAAATATAAAAATTCATAAATATATTTATATATATATTAGCCTTCTCACCCACCAACCACCATCATGTCCATCACATTGCCCACTCTTACACCTCCCTACCAATTCTAGTGAGGACTTCATAACCCGACCATACATGTACATGAATTCAGTGACTCCTCAATCTCCAAGCAGCATCGCTCCCACTCAGCGCACACATCATCGCCAAATGAGTCGAAAATGACACGTCATAATTTAAATTTATTTAATAATTACACATTATAAATTAATAAATACTTTAATTTCCCCCAACCCTTATATACACCATCGCCCCTTTCTAAGTGAGAGATGGAGAAGTTAACCGGCGGTGGTCTCCCTCCAATCTTCACAGCTTCTCCCATCAATCTTGTAACAACATCCTAAATCAAAACTACAAGAAATCTCATCAAATCAAAATATATTGTATGGATCTCTTCCATCGTCGATACCACCACCATTGAAATCCTCCATAGCTGCTTACCCGACTTAATTAACGTCGGATTCAATTCGGCGAGATGCAATTGTACGTTGTTCTTCGGGAGGCCTTCCACGACACTTGGTCCTTAATTCGAATTAGCTAGCTTCGAGTTTATCACCAACGACAGAGGTGGTTGCGACCCTCTCACCAGCAAAACTGGAGTCGTCGATCCAAATGGCGGCGCCGATAGTGGAGGAGGAGCCTCCTTCTGGTGCTCAATTCTCTTTCGACTCTCCTTAGAAGAATGTTGTCGGAGAACATAAAGATTTGGTTGCAGTCCTATTTTTATCATGCTTTGATGAGGATGGTGGCGGAAGTGCAAATAATTGTTGGCCCTCCTCATGTGGTGGAGAACTGGCCATCAAAGTGGCGGTGATAATTGGAAAAAGAAAAAAAAATAAATAATAAAACTAATGAGGGAGCAGTGGACGGTTGGGAGATGGATTTCTCAACCAATTGCAATTAATCCATGCCCTCTTCTTAGCCTATAAAAGGAGACGATCAGCTCACTTGGAAAGCATCCCTTACCATTCCATTCCATCCTTCTCCATTTCCTTTGCTCTGCTTCTGTTCGTATTTCTTTTGTGGGTTTTGGTAGTGAAACGTTTTCACTACCACGGGTAGATAGGAGATTTCCTTGTGAGTGAAATAGTGAGGTTGTTTGGGAAACACCGTGTGTTCTATTTCTTGTATCGAGAAAATCTCTGTAACCTACCATTGTTATAGTAAAGAAATACTCCGGAGATGTTGTTCCCGTGGACTGGCCCAAAATCAGGGTATACCACGTAAATCCTCGGTGTCATTTATTATTATCTATGCTTGTTGTTATTTTGAGAATAGTCGTAGTATATTGCATTATTAAATTACCGAAGTAAATTGATCTAAGTAAGTTGGTTACCGTAATTCTGGAGGCTCTGCCACCAGGTCCAACTTATTTGTGAACTTTTTACAAGCGTGTGATTTCTTAGTGCAATATATTTACCCGCTATTCTCACCCGCTGCGCCCAACAAGTGGTATCAGAGCCACGTCCAATGGAGGCAAAAACAAGCAAGATGATAAGTCTGAATGGCTCCAACTATCACATATGGAGAAACAAGATGAAGGATCTCCTACTCGTGTCGGAGTTGCATTTGCCGGTGTTTAGTCCAACTAAACCTGATGGCAAAACTGAAGAGGAATGGGAGTTCAAGCATGAGCAAGTATGTGGCTACATTCGACAGTTCGTCGACGATAATGTATACAACCACATTAGCGGAGAAACTCATGCCAGAACTCTGTGGAACAAGCTGGAGGCACTCTATGCATCAAAGACCGGCAACAACAAATTATTTTATCTGACCAAGTTGGTCCAGATAAAATACAAGGAAGGCAAATCCTTGGCGGATCACTTGAACGAAATTCAAGGGATCGTGGATCAGTTGTACGGTATGGGCATAAAGATGGAAGATGAGGTGGTCGCTCTCCTCGTTCTGGCTTCCCTTCCAGAATCTTGGGAGACGCTAAAAATTTCACTTACCAACTCTGCAAAAGATGGAGTTATCAACATGGAGATCGTCAAAAGTGGGGTTCTAAATGAAGAGATGCGGAAAAGATCACAAGGTGCATCCTCATCATCTTCCCAGTCAGACCTTTTGGCGGTGGATTTCAGAAGCAGAGGAAGAAGTGAAGCGAGAGGCTCGAAGCAAAGAGGCAAGAGTCGAGGGAAGTCCAACAAGTTTGCCAATATCAATTGTCATCACTGCAAGGAAAAGGGCCACATCAGAAGATTTTGCCCAAAGTTCAGAAACGAGAGAAGGAAGGGCAAACGAGATGAGAACAGTGATGATGATGGTGCAAACTCCGTTGATGAGTTCAATATTGTCTACGAGGAAGATGTTGTCAACCTGACAACACAGGAGACAAGCTGGGTGGTTGATAGTGGTGCTACCATCCACGTGACGTCCAAGAGAGAATTTTTCTCATCTTACACACCAGGTGACTTTGGTGTGGTAAGGATGGGAAATGGCAACCTTTCCAAAGTTATTGGAAAAGGAGAAGTATGCTTGGAGACGATGAATGGTACAAAGCTACTACTGAAGGATGTCAGGCATGTTCCAGAAATGCGCCTGAATCTCATCTCTGTAGACAAGTTGGATGAGGAAGGTTACTGTAACACCTTTCACAATGGCCAGTGGAAACTCACCAGAGGCTCCTTGGTGTTGGCCAAGGGCAAGAAGCTGTCAAAGCTGTATGTGACGGAAGCCAAGATCTCCCCAGAGATTGTCAACTCAGCGGAGAATGGTGACACAATTGAATTGTGGCACAAACGACTCGGTCACATGAGTGAGAAGTCCATGGCAAAGTTGGCCCAGAAGAAAGTCATAGTTGGGTTGGATCATGTTCATCTAAAGAAGTGTGTCGATTGCCTTGCGGGAAAGCAAAACCGAGTTGCTTTCAAAAGTTCCATCCCTTCAAGAGCGAAGAACGTGTTGGATCTAGTTCACTCAGATCTCTGTGAACCCGATGTCAACGTCAAATCACTTGGAGGTGCCAGATATTTCGTGACATTCATTGATGACCATTCACGAAAGACTTGGGTGTATACCTTGAAGACCAAGGATCAGGCCCTAGACGTTTTCAAACAATTCCTGGCCCTGGTGGAGAGGGAAACTGGCAAGAAGCTGAAGTGCATCCGGACTGACAATGGTGGAGAGTACAGAGGTCCATTTGCTACCTTCTGCAAGGAACATGGAATTCGGCAGCAATTCACACCACCAAAGACGCCGCAATTGAATGGGCTAGCTGAAAGGATGAACAGGACCATGTTAGAGAGATTCAGGTGCTTGTTATCACACTCGAAGCTACCACAATCTTTCTGGGGGGAGGCACTGCTTGCAGCAGTTTACATGTGAAACAGGTCACCCAGTGTGCCACTGAAGTATGAAGCCCCAGAGAAGGTGTGGACAGGAAAAGAAGTTTCCTACAAACATTTGCGAGTGTTTGGTTGCAAGGCCTTTGTCCATATTCCAAAGGATGAAAGGTCAAAGTTGGATTCAAAGACGCGACCGTGCGTATTCATTGTCTATGGTCAAGATGAGTTTGGCTATAGATTCTTTGATCCAATCCAGAAGAAGCTTATCAGAAGCCGTGATGCTGTGTTCATCGAGAATGAGACCATCGAAGATATTGTTGCTAGGAAAGAAGTTCCTAGTACCGATGCTAGCCAGCCAAACCTTGAGCTAGTGCCTCCAACACCAGCGCCTACAGAAGTTGGAGAAGAAGCACAACATGATCAGCCTGAGATAGTTGAACCAGATGCCCATGTGGAGGTTCAACCAGAAGATGCTGATGACGATGGTCAACCACCAGCCATAGAAGGTTCTCCTGTTCGAACAACAAGATCTGGTAGAATTTCACGACCGTCAACCAGATATCCCGAGACTGAATACGTCTCACTTACTGACGGTGGAGAACCAGAAAACTTCACAGAAGCTATGAATGATGAACACAAGCAAAGGTGGATAGAAGCCATGCAAGACGAGATGGATTCCTTGTATGAGAACAACACATTTGAGCTGGTGAAGTTGCCAAAAGGCAAGAGAGCTTTGAAGAACAAGTGGGTGTTCAAGATCAAACATGATGAACACAACCGTCAGCCACGCTTCAAAGCCAGACTAGTCGTGAAAGGCTTCAGTCAAAGGAAAGGCATTGACTTTGACGAGATATTTTCACCTGTGGTGAAAATGACATCCATTCGTACTGTGCTGGGACTAGCAGCTAGTCTTAACTTGGAGGTTGAACAAATGGATGTGAAAACTGCCTTCCTTCATGGTGATTTGGAGGAAGAGATTTACATGGAGCAACCAGAAGGCTTCAAGAAGGAGAAAAAGGAGGACTATGTGTGTAGGCTCCGTAAGAGCTTGTATGGCTTGAAACAAGCACCAAGGCAGTGGTATAAGAAGTTTGAGTCTGTTATGGGGGAGCAAGGCTACAAGAAGACTACTTCAGACCACTGCGTGTTCGTGAAGAAATTTCCTGATGGAGATTTCATCATACTTTTGCTCTATGTGGATGATATGCTAATTGTTGGGCAGAACGTCTCAAAGATCAATGATTTGAAGAAGGAGTTGAGCAAGTCTTTTGCCATGAAAGACTTGGGACCTTTAAAGCAGATTCTTGGCGTGAGGATCATTCGGGATCGAGGTGCCAAGAAGATATGGTTGTCACAAGAGAAGTACATTGAGAAAGTACTTCAACGTTTCAACATGGATAATGCTAAGGCGGTTAGCTGTCCTCTTGCTAACCACTTTACATTGACATCCAAACAGAGCCCGTCTACTGAGAAGGAAAAGGCGGAGATGGATAAAATTCCATATGCTTCAGCAGTGGGAAGTTTGATGTACGCCATGGTGTGTACAAGGCCAGATATTGCTCATGCAGTTGGAGTTGTCAGTCGGTTTCTTTCCAAACCAGGAAAGGAACATTGGGAAGCTGTGAAGTGGATCCTCAGATACCTTCGAGGTAGCTCCAAAATGAGTCTATGTTTTGGAGATGGTGAACATGTCCTTGTTGGCTATACAGATGCTGACATGGCAGGTGATGTTGATTCGAGGAGGTCCACTTCTGGGTACCTAATTACCTTATCAAGGGGAGCAATATCGTGGCAGTCAAGGCTACAAAAGTGTGTAGCTCTTTCCACAACAGAAGCTGAGTATATAGCAGTAACGGAAGCATGCAAGGAGATGATATGGATGAAGAAGTTCATGAATGAACTTGGGTTCCTACAGGAACAACCACAGTTATTCTGTGACAGTCAAAGTGCTATTCATCTTGCGAAGAATGCTTCATTTCATGCTCGATCAAAACATATCGATGTTCGATATCACTGGATTCGTGATGTACTTGAAATGAAGCAACTACAACTGGAGAAGATCCATACTGACGAAAATGGATCTGACATGTGTACCAAGACTCTTCCAAGAGAAAAGTTTGAGTTCTGTCGATCAGCTGCAGGGATGACGACTTCGCCCATGTAGTCGGGCGGGGGAGAATTGTTGGCCCTCCTCATGTGGTGGAGAACTGGCCATCAAAGTGGCGGTGATAATTGGAAAAAGAAAAAAAATAAATAATAAAACTAATGAGGGAGCAGTGGACGGTTGGGAGATGGATTTCTCAACCAATTGCAATTAATCCATGCCCTCTTCTTAGCCTATAAAAGGAGACGATCAGCTCACTTGGAAAGCATCCCTTACCATTCCATTCCATCCTTCTCCATTTCCTTTGCTCTGCTTCTGTTCGTATTTCTTTTGTGGGTTTTGGTAGTGAAACGTTTTCACTACCACGGGTAGATAGGAGATTTCCTTGTGAGTGAAATAGTGAGGTTGTTTGGGAAACACCGTGTGTTCTATTTCTTGTATCGAGAAAATCTCTGTAACCTACCATTGTTATAGTAAAGAAATACTCCGGAGCTGTTGTTCCCATGGACTGGCCCAAAATCAGGGTATACCACGTAAATCCTCGGTGTCATTTATTATTATCTATGCTTGTTGTTATTTTGAGAATAGTCGTAGTATATTGCATTATTAAATTACCGAAGTAAATTGATCTAAGTAAGTTGGTTACCGTAATTCTGGAGGCTCTGCCACCAGGTCCAACTTATTTGTGAACTTTTTACAAGCGTGTGATTTCTTAGTGCAATATATTTACCCGCTATTCTCACCCGCTGCGCCCAACAAAATGGTGGCGACGACAACAATAGCAGGTATTTGGGGATTAGGGATTCTAGAGCCACATGTATTCTTTAGGGGATTTATGGATCTGGATCTGACATAGCGTTGCGGAATGACGAGGATGCCAAGCAATGAAGAACCGGAAGGAGGCGGCAGCAGTTGTGGATTTGTATCTGACGGAAGCTAGTCGGTGAGCAGATGTAGGTTGAGAGGTAATAATCAAATTAATGTTGAGAAAGGAAATGGTGATGAGAGGAGGGATCGTGGTGGTTCTGCCAGGAGCAAGTCGGTGGGGGGCTCATGGTGATTCTGGCGAGAGGAAGCCGATAGGGGGTGAGAACTGAGAAGAGGATAAGGAAAGCGAGGAAGAAGACGAAGGCAAGGGTCGGTGGGTGGGTGGGAACACGAAGGGAAGACAAAGAGAGGCAAATCGTCAAAAAAATTTTATATATGTTTTTAATTTTTCATTAATCTATGTGGCAGTGTTTGTTGATGCAATATCACCAAGCCAACTTTTTCTTTTGTCCAGTCAACTTGTTGGATGACATCATTAAAGTATTGGACGAAAGTGGCTATAAATGGTATTTCTCCAAAATTGGCTATTATTGACAAAAAATGTGAAAATTTTGACTATACAGATGTATTTTGCCTAAATGATATTCGTCACAATCTTGGGGTGTCCAGCTTCTTCAAAGCTTTGTCGATGGGATACGAGATGAGAGACGACAAACATGTCCTTTTTTTAAATAATATTGTAGTTAATTGTCGTCAATCCTTAAAAATTAAAAATTATCTAAATAAAATGTTTTTATTGGCTGGAGTTAGAGTGAGTATCATGCATTAGGGCTGGGCATGCGGGCGAATCATCCGCGGGTTTGGGCCTACCCACCCGCATTTGACCCGAATTTCTTTAAGTGGGTGGGTCTATGGGTGGGTGACGGGTTGCGCTGGGAGACATCCGCCGGGTGGTGGGTGGGTGCGCGGGTGACCCGCTCAACCCCAACAGCAAAAAGATCAAAGTCGTATGCGCTAGAGAGGGGAGAGTGGAGACGTTAGACATAAACTAGGACTGCTCCTGGAGTTTGAACCTCAAAGCCAACCTTCCAAATAGTGATCCCCTCATCTTCCCTTTATTTTCCCCTCTAATTCTAGTGCCTAGATCACTGCTCTTTCCTTTGTGGAATTATTTTTCTTAGTTCCTTGCACCTGATAATCATCTCAATCTGTAGAAAACTCTTTCGTAAAAGAATTTCTATCCATTTTAAGAATTAATTCGACATTTTTCGCCCTATTTCATCTTCTTGTTTCCCCAGATAACTCTATTATCATGTCAAGTTGACTCCTTTATATTATATACATTGTGATGTGGGTGAACCCACAAACCCACCCAAATCATCCACCATCCGCCCGACCCAACCCGAGACTAAATGTGGGTGGGTGGTGGGTTAAAAATTATCACTCCGTTTAAGCGCGGGTGAGTGCATTTTATGGTCAAAATCCACCCGACCCACCCAATACCCACCCCTACTTGCATTCATGCTAACAGAAATAGTGTTAGCACACTAGGCTTTTCTAATTGGGAAGTGCCATTATCAAATAGTAGATTTGAAAATATTTTCGTAAATGATCTAATATTAATAATAATTTTTAGAAGACAATATTTTTGGGGGAAAACCCCAATTGTGAGATGGGCTATAAAGGGAAAAGAAAACTCTGAGGCGGGGCCACGTAGGCTCCGTTGGTGTCCGTCCTACCTGTTAACTCTCTTTCTCTTCGCTTCGCTTCCCTCTCACTCTCACTCTCTCTCTCTCTGTCCGTTACCTACAACAAATCAATTCCGCCTATTTCCTCGCTCTTCCTCTGGCGCTTCAAAAAGACAAGGATTCGCGTCCAACTCGTAGCCCCATTATAATACTCCATCGCGGTAGGCTCCTTGTTTCGCATCTCCACTTTCCTTGCCCCCAAGAAGATTCGTCGTCCCCGGCATCCTGTTACCTCTCTCGTTTTCTCTTGTAATCACCACTGCCAATCACTCTGCCTCTCCTTTACTGCATTGCTAATCCTCCATTCCATTAGGGAACCTTTACACTCACCCACTTTCCAGTTCCTCCTCCTCTTTGTTGAAGGAGTTGGGAAAGTGTCTTCCCTTTATTGGATTCTGAATCTGGGTTTCTGGAGATCTCTCTCTGTCTTGGGTTTAGTCCAGAAATCTGATACTAAATCTGTATCTTTTTTTCCCCCTTCTCTTGGCTTTACTGGGTTCCAAAGCAGAGGAAGGAGGAGTCGAAAGGGTGTTTTTCTTTTTCCGGAGAAAACGAAGATGTCGAAAGCTGGTGCATTGGATCTTGCTTCTGGTCTTGGTGGGAAGATCGAGAAGAAGGAAGTTCTTTCCGCGGTCGAGCAGTATGTCTTCTTCCTCCTCTTTGATTATTTGTCCTTCATGCATCAACAATGTGGGTGGTCATAATGAAATTGAAACCCCCCTGCATCTTTCATCAATGTCAATTCCGCTTCAGTTATGCGCTTTAATCTCTTCACTTGGATGGCTTAACCCAAAACGATGCAATCTTCTTTCTCCCCACTTGGGATTGTTGTTTGGATCCATAACTCTCTTCATTCACTCTGTATCTGACAATTTGATGACTAGATTCGTACCTTTATTGAAGTCCAATTGGTCCCATCCAATGCACGGTTACTACTTGGATTTTCTCATTTTTCTCTCTTCACTGTAATGATGAAAGTGTATTTAATTTAATTCTTCTCCCTCCCCCTCTCTCTCTAGTACTTCACTTGTTCTTCCCACTGCGCTGCCCTTTCTCTGTGATAGATTCTGCTTGAATGATTAACCTCTATTCAAATTTGTTTGCATGAATTCTATTGGATTGTACATGCATGATGCATCCATTCCACTCTTGTCACGGATGGATCTAGTACCCTTTATTTCTTACTCCATGTCAAACAAACCATTAGCACTTCAGTTCCTCTTTAGTTGATTGGTCTCTAAAAAGTAAAAGCCTCTTTGTGTGTAAGGTGTAATAATTTTCTGTGAAGTGCGAGGACTCTTTTTGGTAGTAGTGACAAAGGCCTCATGCGCCTAGCTATTATTGAGAAACATGTGTCTTTGACTGTTCAGTTGGAACTTTGTTCCTCAGCTGGCCCAAGCCTTGGTGGCACAGTTAGTGTAGATATTGGCTCCTGCTTTTGGTTATTTTTTCCTTTTTGCAACTTTGAAAGTTCAGTTGTTCGTTCTTCCTTCCTCCTATCCAGCTTGTCCTGATCTGGAAAGCGGTGAGGGGCGGGTCCCCGGCCACGTTGGTCTTCTCCTTGTTCTTTTCTTGCTCCTTCGTCCTTCCCCTTTGTATGTAAATTGAAGACTTTTACATACTAGTGTTTCTTTTCCTTTTCACCGCCATACTTGATCTAGCTCGGCCTGGTTGCTGCAAAGGGTTGCCCCGTAATTAACAACACAAGTATAGCTGGGTTTCTAATACTCAACACGAAACCTTGATTAAGCTGGGAAAATGAGATTCCCGTAATACTTAAGTCTCCATGCTCCAACGCCCTAGGGAAGTGCATATGGAAAGGCCAATTATAGTAACTTGGTGGGCTATCATGGTCCATGGAACTGTGGTGTCACAATGGGAAGGCAAAGTGAGCAGTAACCAAGTTCCATACGCTAGCTCTTTGGTCTTTGCTCTGATTTTTGTCTTCTTGGTCCCCCTTTAAACAGTCTATTTTCTCTTCACAGCTTTGTATGTCGTGCGCAAGTGGTGGTTGTAATTACGGGCAGCCCTCTGATGATCTTAATAGTTTGGTTTTGTCTGTTTCCCTAACAGCCGCTACCATGGCTTTGTGGTTCAGGTATGAAAAGTACCACAACCTATATGGAGGTGCTGATGAAGAGAGGAAATCAAACTACACTGACATGGTAAACTGTGAATCTAATGGGATAACGTAGCATACGGCTGTTCTTGTTCTAACCAAGTTAATTGTTTTTATCATTAAATCATCCTTGGCTTGGCTTCCAGGTTAATAAATATTATGACCTTGCAACTAGCTTTTACGAGTTTGGCTGGGGAGAATCTTTCCATTTTGCTCACAGGTGAAGTATTTTTCTTCGTTTACTGGCCTTCATGCTCAAGCATGTACCACTTCCTTCTCTAAGACTGGAACCCACATATTTTCTTACCCCAATTACAATGTCAGGTTCAATGGTGAATCTCTTCGGGAGAGCATCAAGCGGCATGAGCACTTCCTCGGATTGCAACTTGCCCTGAAACCTGGACAAAAGGTTGGCTACCCTTTTTTTTTTTGTAACTATGTAAGGAACGTGGAATATCCAATTTCGTTCATTTAATTGGTCTTGGTTGTTTGTTTTCCCCTTCTTGGCGTTAGGTGTTGGATGTTGGATGTGGAATTGGTGGACCACTGAGAGAAATTGCTAGGTTCAGGTTAGTGGAATCGAGTTTGGTTTAGTTTATCCTGGCTATTCCACGCTTGGAAGGTGTTTTAAGCTTTTCGTGCAATCTCTTGCAGCTTAGTATCAGTGACAGGGTTGAATAACAACGAATATCAGATATCAAGAGGAAAGGTGAGTACAGACTCTTCTTTCTACTCTGTCTCAAGCAACATAATTTAGTTTACTAGACTTCCTGTCAACAACGTCAACATTGCTCTAGCATGCTTTTGTCTTTGATTAATCCGCTTGCTTCTGCCATTTAGGAACTAAATCGTATTGCAGGAGTGGACAAGACATGTGATTTTGTTAAGGTATGTTGCTGTTTCCTCCACAATATACCCTCTTTACATTCTTTGGGCCCAAGAATCCCAACGTTGTTCTCTCTTGATTGCGTATACAGGCTGACTTCATGAAAATGCCAATCCCAGACAACAGCTATGATGCCGTGTATGCCATTGAAGCCACCTGCCATGCACCTGATGCGGTATGCAAAAAGTTATCCATTCATATCAAGGATATTCTACTTGATCAATTATAATTTGTAATCCTTCCGTTTTGTTATATTTATGATTTCCATCATCCACTTTTTCATTGTTGTTTTGAGCAGTATGGATGCTACAGCGAGATCTACAGAGTATTGAAACCTGGCCAGTGTTTTGCTGCTTATGAATGGTGCATGACGGATGCTTATAATCCCGAAAACAGAGAACACAACAAAATTAAGGTTAGATATTGGCTCCATCTCTAATGCTAACCCCAACCACACAGCTCTTGCCTGAAGATGGAAAATGTTGCATTTACAGTCAGAAATAGAGATTGGTGATGGTCTTCCTGACATTAGGTCAACGACACAGTGCATTGAGGCTCTGCAGAAGGCCGGTTTTGAGGCAAGTCATACATCTTCTCCCCCTAAACCCATCTCCATTTTGGGAGACTCTTCTAATTGAGTTATGACCATCCATGTGAAGGTTATATGGTCGAAGGATCTTGCGAAAGACTCACCTGTCCCGTGGTACTTGCCCCTGGACAAAAGTCACTTCTCGCTGAGCAGCTTCCGTTTGACTGCTGCTGGAAGATTCTTTACTAAAAATCTGGTAAGCATTGCGCTCGAACTTTGATTTATCCTCGCTACTGTGGTATTATTGCTGCTTTCTCTGAACAACATGCTGATTCGTTCCGAATTAAGACGTGCATGCACAATCAATCCTTAAGCTGTTCACATTGCTTACTAACTGGCTGACATTCTTTCGCCTTGTAGGTGAAGGCCCTCGAGTATGTAGGACTTGCTCCTAAAGGAAGTCAAAGGGTTCAAGATTTTCTTGAGAAGGCTGCTGAGGGATTAGTCGATGGTGGGAAGTAAGTGACTTTTCTCTTGTTTACAACATAACTACACTCTGACTTGTTCATCTCGACATACATTGGTCGGGTAAATTACTGAAAGACGGGCTGCTTCGTGTTTTTGTGTCAACCCGCTTTCAAACAAATGGAATCCGGCTCTACCAAATTACCAACTGAATCGTATTGCATTCTTCCTTTACTGCAGGAAGGAGATATTCACACCAATGTTCTTCTTCTTGGCTCGTAAGCCGCTCTAGGAGAGTCAAAGGAAAAAGGTGGTAGCTGTATGTGCTCGGCTTGCTCTGTTAGGCAGTGAACAGAAACTCATTCCGAGTTTTGTTTTTCTCAGTCTCTTTGGAACAGTTTCAGCGTACTGCGTGTATCAGCATTGTTCAGTTTGTGAACGTTGTGAGACTCATCAGTTTTGGTTCTCAAGTAACGTAGACTGTTAGCTGGTTTTTAGTCATCGGTCATTCTAATCTATTTTAGTCTGTGCTGGTTAAGATTAAACTGCCTCGATACTCTGCCGAAGCCATTTAAGTATTTTAGTTGGTGGGAGTCATATTGATGGGAGCGGATATGGTGATAACACCATATTTGTTGTTATAGAGACAACAAATTAGGGCAACCAATAGAAAGTCACCATTGCACGTAGTCAAGTGTAGATGGGTAATCAATCCATTTCATAAATGTCTAGGATAATGATATCAACATATTTCCCATGCAAACATACTATGATATTATAAGCAACTAGAATCAATACACGCGGCGTATTATTTCGACATTTGATAGAAACCTAGTAATTTTAGTATTTTGTTTAGTTGTCGGATTATAGCTATTTCGGATTATTGGGACCATTTCGGGAATTGGGAATAAATTATATGTTGGGTAGTAGTAGGTAATTATTCAATTATTATATAAATGACTTATAAGTGGGATTAGGTCACTAAGCAAGATTAAACCTAAACCTAAATCTCCAATTCCCTCTCTTTTCCTCTCTAGCCGCCGAGTCCTTTTTCCCTCTCTTCCCTTCGGCTGCCGCAAGCAACACTCTTTCCTTTCCCCTCTTCTTCTCGATCAACCAATTCTACTCACCTCCCATTTTCCCCAAATCCCCGGATCAATCAGTAGTTGATCCTAATTCCCCAAAATCACTCGATAGAGCTCTGACTTGAGTTCTATCAACATTCTAGTTAAGCAACATGAACTAAATTCTCCTTGCCTGTGAATTAAATTTACTCACTGAAAATAACCCATTAAATCCCTTCAAAACATGTATCATAAAACTCGTATAAATGTAGTCTACTCTTCATTGGGTTAAAGACACATTTGGTCACTGGGATTACAAAATCAGGACATGTTTAGTCACTAGAAAAAGTTAATATCAAATTTGGTCACTACAATTACTAAAACTGGACACATTTAGTCACTTGACGTTAGTCTCCGTCCAACTCCGTTAATGAAGTCCGTTAAGTGCTGATGTGGCAAACAGAATTGCCTAATCAGCCGGATATAACCCAACAAAAATAAAACCCGACCCGCCACGTCATTATAACCTGCCACGTCATTAAAACCAACCCAACCCATGACCCAACCCCACCCAACCCTTCTTCCTCCTTCCTCCCACCTCGGCACCTCCCACCTCCTTCTTTCCCCACGTCAATGAAGGAGAGTTGGGCTCCTCCATTGACTCCTGCCTTGTGCTTCCTCCTCTCTTCAATTCCTTCACCTGCCCCTCCACTCCTATCTCTCTATATCTACACATTTCCTTCCTTTCGCCATAGCAGATCAGATCACCCTTCATTCCCCCATTTCCCCCAACCAAACACAGCTGCTGCTATGCCGAATCCAACGCACCTCTCGCCCACCATATTTCTTCTTCTTCTTCTCGTTCTGCCTTGCGCTCTTTCCGCCTCCCATTCCCCTGCCGCCACGTACTCCAGTTCACCGAGCCGCCAGTTCTACCAGACGGAATGCCTGAAAGTCCCCATCTCCCAGTTCCTCGGCACCCTCCAGTCCACCCTCGACATCATCAAGGACGTCACCTCCATCATCTCCAACTTCGGCGGCTTCCTCGGCGGCCACCGCCTCTCCAATACCATCTCCGACTGCCTCGATCTACTCGATTTCACGGGCGACGCCCTCTCCTGGTCCATCTCCGCTTCCCAGAACCCCAAAGGTAACCCTACCCTAACTAAACATCATCATCATCATTTAATTACCTTTTCCATGGCGGTGGTTTTGGGAAAAGAAGGAGGTGGGAGGAAGGAGGAAGAAGGGTTGGGTGGGGTTGGGTCATGGGTTGGGTTGGGTTGGTTTTAATGACGTGGCATGTTATAATGACGTGGCGGGTCGGGTTTTATTTTTGTTGGGTTATATCCGGCTGATTAGGCAATTCTGTTTGCCACGTCAGCACTTAACGAACTTCATTAACGGAGTTGGACGGAGACTAACGGCGAGTGACTAAATGTGTCCAGTTTTAGTAATTGTAGTGACCAAATTTGATATTAACTTTTTCTAGTGACTAAACATGTTTCGATTTTGTAATCTCAGTGACCAAATGTGTCTTTAACCCACTCTTCATTATACTTCCACATTTAGTATACATCTTTGCTCCCTTGTACATTGCTTTTTAGTTGCTCTTTCAATGAAACATTTGCTATTATTGGGAAAAAAACTGTAACAGACTTCATCAAAAAATGAAAAATTATTGGGTCAAATTCTGAACTCCTTAAATCAATAAAAAGATAGGCTAACATCATGCATATACTATTTATACTGCAACTTAAAAGGACAAAATGTGCTCCCTATCAAATTTCTCTTTTCCTTCTTACCCTTTCGCCAAAATCCCAACCTCTTTTGATTTGTTAAAATAGTTGGGACTGCACATGTGAACATGCACGACGAAAAGAATGGTAAATTAACAACAAAAGAACAAATGATAACCGAAGCTGTAACACATAAATGGCAAATCAAAATACCATGAGAGTTGAGAATTATTAGGAGGCTGTGAATTATTATATCAGTCATCAAATGGTGCCTGTAAGTATAAAATTGATTCATAACTGCATAAACATCGAACAATTAATTAAGGAATCATCCACAGTTACTGCACAAAATCAAGACCGATTGCTCCCTTTGACCTTCTGCCTCTGCAAATTTGAGGCTTCAAACTGTATATCTCACATCCATTTCTTTCAATTCCTTTCTCTGTTCCCACCTCATCGAACATTGATATCAGGTTGCAGTTGCCAAGTAGGTGTTTTGTGTTAGTGTTGTGGTATATGATCCACGATTGAACCTCTCCCAATAACTCGAGTTATTGGGATCAACTGGTTCTTGACATGGTATCAGAGCCTTCTGTGACCGAGAGGTCTTGTGTTCGATTCCCGGTGACCCCCATTTGTTAAGCACATGGTATTCTTGTCTTCAGACCTGTGCAAACTTCAAGCCCTTGTGAGTGACTTTCGTTTGAGGGGGCGTGTTAGTGTTGTGGTATATGATCCACGATTTATTAATGAAAGACAACTATGTTGAAGCTTTGAGTTGGACATGAGGGTAAGACAGTTGAGGAGGAAGTGCAACCAACATAACCACGACAACAATTAACAGACAACAACAACAAAAATTATAACGAACAACCACATCAAGAAAGTGTAGAAGGAGCAGAATTACGGCAAGAAAAAGAAAGTGCATCAACAGAAGTAAAATTACAGCAGCAGGTGAAAGAAAGTGCGGTAGCTCTGAAACAAAAGAAGCATGCAAGAAAAGGATTTTGAGCATAAAGCAACCATTGATGAATGGCGATACCCCTAGCTTGCAGAGATGGATTATGGATAAAATCACCTGCTTCCAACACGCAACCAACCTATTTAGAGACAAAATTCAAACTCTGAATGGTTGTTCATATATTCCCTTCAAGCAAAGGAAGTGTAAAGCACATCTGATATCCCTAGACAGTGGTTTACCAACATAACATTCATGGTTTCCCATTTTACATGTCAGGTTGTCTGGAAGTGTACAAAGTCTACTGATTTTGAACCATTGGCTACCGAAGATTTAAGAGAAAGGAAAGTATAGGGCCCTCTCAACGTAATCACCCAAGATCTAAGACAACCAAACTTTATCAAAGCGAGATAAAATAGTATATGAAATTAAAGATTCCACATTTCAATGTACAATTTGATAGCCACTGCGATTTGTATCGGTAAATGGAAATGTGAAAATTTGTAAAAGCAGTTCGATCCATAACCTGATAAAAAATTCTTACGTATCTTGGAGGTGGTTCAAGAGGTACATAGAAGACTCATATTATTCTGCTTGCAGGGATTGCAATGAGCCAAACGATCTCATAATCTCGATACATGTAACAAATATCAGAAAGATGAGAAAATAACATAACAAATTTTCATTCAGAAGAGGGGTGAAAAGAATAATCAAGGCAATTAAATGTTAGCTGTGTAATTACTGTATAAGCTATACCCAAGCGGATGGATCGTCCCAGCCTTCAGGACCACCTCCACTGATGAAATCCATGATTGCCTTGACAACCTGATACACTCTATTTGAAAGGGAGTGATTCCCATGTTTGATTTCAACGCTCTCTGCCCCTCCCATTATTCTGCACAACCAATTCCTTCCAACCCCGCAATGGACAAAATAAGGTCTTAGCTAAAGACAGGAAGCAAATTCGAGAAATTGCAGCATAATCAAAGAAAGCTCACACAATCGGGAGAAAGTGGGCCAACCGGAAATAGATTCCACAATTGTGGCACTGTTTTAATATTTGCAGAATGGTGTTGGAGTCGAAGCTCCAAGAGGAAGAGATCAAAGATAACCCCACTCCACTTGCTCCTCCCCGACGTTAATGGTGGATTCTCACTCTCGCTGGAGTTTGGAAGATTGCGGAAGGATAAAACTTAAAAGTGATTGGGGTATGGGATTGGGTAAAGCCACGAAGAGATAGATGAAGAACAGAATTGAAGGTGTAGATGAAAAAAGAACAATCAATGGAGAGAAGAGAGAAGTCTACCCTCAAAGAGTAAGGGACAATCTACCAAAAATCGTGGGAGGAGGTGTGTTGGAGTAGATTATGCAGATTTCGCAAGATCTAGAAGCAAACTGTCGAGGTAAGAGGAGGGAGATGATTGGAGCATGGCGATTGCGGATTTTGGGGTGAGACAGAGATACAAAAGGTATGGCCACCTTACCTCTAATTGATGATGCGATGTGGCATAGGCTTTTCAGCTCTTTGACAGTGGGCATACACTGATGAGCAAGGGAAGGGCTTCTGGTCACAGAACATAAAGCGAAAAATAAAAAGGTTGCGAAGGAAGGCATGGTTGACTGCTGCGGAATAGAGCAGGTACTGTTGGGTCGGGTTGGACAACAATGTGCTTGGAAAGATGTATATTAGAAGCTCTTTTACCCATTGCCCACAAAACGCCAAAAAGTGAAACAGTATTAAAAAAATAGTAGGAAGAAAAAGTGTACCCAGCTTTCATCTTTTATATAATAATAATAATACTATATTATAAGCAATACTATAGGGTAAATGCCACATTTGGTCACTAAGATTACTAAATTGTGTCATGTTTAGTCACTAGAAAAATTTAATATCAATTTTGGTCAATCGAATTACTGAAACATGTTGCATATAGTCACTCTCCTGTTAGCCTCCGTTCAACTCTAGTCACTCGAATTACTGAAACATGTCACATTTAGTCACTCGAATTACTGAAACATGTCATATTTAGTCACTCAAATTACTGAAATATGTCACATTCCTGTTAGATTCCGTCCAACTCCATTAATGAAGTTGAACGGAAACTAACGGGAGAGTAACTAAATGTGACCTGTTCCAGTCATTCGAGTGACCAATATTGATATTAAATTTTTCTAGTGACTAAACATGACATGCATGATTTAGTAATCTCAGTGACCAAATGTGGCATTTACCCCAATACTATAATAGAACATAATAGTTGGTGTAGACATCACATGATTAAAGCATTGTATAACTAAGGCATTCGAATATCATAAGCATGACATGACAAAGACATCCAATGATCTAAAGCTCATCATAATATCATAGAAAAAAGATGCTATAAGCATTAATAAAATTCACATCCTTAAAAAAGAAGTTGAACTAACAAGTCTAATCGAACATACTCTTTTCTTTTCTCCTTCCCCCTTATGTCTCTTTTCCTTTGTTCCAGTTCATCCTTTCGTCACCAGATTTCGTTGGCTTGTGTCACCGCTCCACTGTTAGTTCAGTCCTCACATCACCAGGTTATGAGGTTGGTCGCTGACATTCGACGGGAGTGGGAGATTTCTTCTATGGGGCTGGTCTACGAAAGTCAACTGGAGAGGGGATTTCTTTGATTTGGTTCTGGGTTTTGGGAGGTTCTTTCGTCGATTTCTTACTCCCAAGCCTCTCTAACTCAATTTGGAAAATCTAATCCAAAATTGTTTCTCAAATATGGGTTTGGAATTTGGATTGATATGGAGAGAGTTTAAATTGACCGATTTCCCACCTGATTGCGAATATGGGTTTTGATTATCTTGTATTGAATCTTCTGCATTGTCAATGGAGATCCCTCAGGTGGCCGCCTCGAAGGGATTCGCCGTCAACGTTGCCGTTATTAGCGAGATCTCCAAGTCTGGCCGAGCAGACGCCGCGAGACGCAGAGGTCATCGTTATTGGCGAGGTCTCCATTTCCACCTGAGCAGTGAGGAAGAAGCGAGACGGCGTGTGGGAGGGAAAGTGAGAGGGACGTGAGGAAGAGTGGGCAGAGGGAGAAAGGGAGACGTGAAGGACAGGTAGAGAGAGACAATTAATTGTAAATTTTTATATTCTAATTGATTTAAGTTAAAATTTTAATATACCGTTGGATGTGGAATTAAAAGGTGAAGGGTGATTAATGGGGTTAATATGTCGTTAACCATTCAAAGGTTAGCATGCCATCCCGTTGCGGGGATGTCTCTTCTTCCACCGCAAGCTCTAGCCACCAAAATCGATTGACGGCAGCGCCTCACCTTGGAGAGGAAAAAATCATGAATTCATCAATGGCCTGCTCCAAATGGATCGAGTTTTTGAAGTTCTCTGAATCCCTTCTTCTCCAAACTCTTCCTCCCGTCACCGGCTATCATTTTCCTCCATTTATCGATGACAATTACGATTTCAAATTCAATTTCAGTGGTTAGTTAGCCAAGAGCTTGTCATCTACTGTATACGAGCTTTGAGGGAAGTAAGATCCGATCGTTGAAACCCTCTCCCGAATACGATTCAGGCATCCCATCATCTGTTACTTCTTCAAAGTGCCCGTGGTGGCCCGAGAAAAACAGACATTGATCCTTTTCAAACATCGATTGTGGCTGATTTCAGGGTGCTGATTGTGGCTAAAGAATCCATCTTCTAGACCCCAGCTGGAAAGGATGCTAAGAAGATCTTTGGATTCTCTCAATCCCTCAACAATGGACAACGAGAGGGGATTTAGCCAAAATGTGCTTCTGGGTTTCATACTTTCATAGACTTCGATTCTGTGTTTCCGAGTTTGCAATTTGGGATTTTAGGTGGGACGAAAGGGGATTTTGGCAAGATGGGAGTGGGTGGAGGGAGGAGGTGGATGAGGGATGGAGGTCACTATCACTCTCTCCAATGATGCTCGGGTATCAGCTGCAGGCGGAGGGAAGGGATATTCGGTGTCTTGCGGAAAACATTGTGGCGGTGGTTAGCATCTTGGGTGACGGTAGTTGTAGGGGAATTTGAGTAAAAGAACTGTGGGATTTTGTGAGCTCGAAGTATATGATGCGAGGAGAAGTATCTGGTGAAAAATTGATGGGCGATAGAGGGCGAGGAATGAAGACTGAGTAGGTGAGGCGGAGCCGGGAGGGGTATCAGGATTTGAGTTTTTTTTGTTGTTTTTTAATTGTAATAATTTGAAATTAGAGAATATGTGAATTTGATGAATTTATAAGCTTGTTTATGTTAACAAGGCAGATATGACAAGTTGACCACTAGTCAATGGTATTGCTTGTCCAATTTAATAGACACATTGGCAAGTTAGACCAAATCAGTAATTTTTGGTGACCGTTAAAACAATGATAAACATTTTAAAAAAAAGAAAGGTTAGTATAGAAATTTAAAGGCAAAATACACTTCTATATCCATAATTTTCATGGTTGTGACAAATATATCCATAACTATCGAAATACACGAAATACCCAGAAAAGCGTACTATCGTGTGACAAATCTATCCATTTCGTTAAAAACTTTAACACCGTTTGTTACGGCGTCAGTAAATGTGACAGAACGCTGACTAGGACCATACCCATCTCACACCTAAGCTCCACGTCAGCATAATTTGAGCCATGTCAGCAAAAAATAAAAAATAAAAATAATAATTCTCTCTGCCCCAATGATTTCTTCTCTCTCCCGTAGCTCCAGCCTCCATAGCTCGCCGAATACTCCTCCTAAACCTAATAATCAGATCCCCCATTACTCCTCTTAAACCTAATAGCTTATGAGATTTCCCGTCGCAAACCAAATCCTTCCCCCTGCTGCCCGTACCCAACCTCGAAGAGTAGCATTCAACATCAAACAAAAGGAGGAAAGGGGGAAATCGGGTTCTGGGGATTTGAGAAGAAGTTGGCTCTTCCCCTGCCAACTGCTACCACTGAGAAGAAGCTTATTAGGCAAAAGAGATCTGGATCCGCCTCCGATCTTCCTCCTCAGTGGAAGATCTGGATCACCTGTTTTGGTCGACGAGATAAACAGAGGGTTTCTATCCACTCCGCCACTTCCTTTCCCCTTCAACTGCTGGATAAATCGAGAAGCCATGGGTTGAGAAGATGAAGAGAAGATTGACGTGGAATTGGAATTCCAAGGGTTCGTGGCCAACAGCTTGGCGGATCTAGATCTGCACCACCTCCTCGGCCAGAGCGTCGGGATCGACAAGGTGTTGTCGACAAGTTGGAAGAGTCGCAGTTGCAGGCGCAACCGCTAGCCATGTTCGTCGGCAGGGATGGGAGAAAAGGACCCGAGTCGATGAAAATCAAAAAGTAGCCACCGAGTTTTGGAGAAATCGGAGAAGGGAAACCCTAGGCGGAGAAATCGAAGAGGTAGAAGAGCATTTTTATTTTTTTATTTTAGGCGTTTTTTTCTGGTTTTAAGTCCTGTATATTTCTCTTTCTATTTTTGTTTTGTATTTTAATTTTTGTTATTTTTTTCTTTATAATACACGTCATTTGGTGGGGTAAATCAATCGCCAACTCAGCTTCTACCGTTAGTTTAGTTATGCCGTCAACTGACGCCGTTAACAAAATGGACGGAATTGGGTATTTCGTGTATTTCGATAGTTATGGATATATTTGTCACAAACGTGAAAGTTATGGATATACAAGTGTATTTTGCCAAATTTAAAATGAATTTGAAGCCAATACCAAATATTAGCCTTATTAAAATTATAAAATTTCCGGATCACAAATGGCATGTGCGATATAAAATCCAGAAGTGCACCTGTCTGTATCAAATCCGCGTCGGCCAACTCCGATCAACTTGGGAGATGCACTTGTTCGCATATCGCAAAATTACAAATAAATACAACGCGAAACAGCCGAATTCCAGAAATTTATTACCGAAACGGAAAAGAAATAATAATAATAAAGCGAATACCGTAAATAAAAGGAGCAGGGAAAAAAGCCCAGGGAGAACGAGTTGTCACCTCAGCTATATATAAAACCGACTCCCGCCTCTTCTGCTTCTCTCGCCAGACGGAACACGAAAACCATCATCATCGCCGCCGCCATCACCACCACAAACTAGTCAATGGATTCCCCTCGCCGTTCCTCCGTCATTGTAGTAGGCGCCGGCATCTCCGGTAACCGCCGGACCTCTATTCTCTCGAACTTATGAACGATTTCTTCTCTTTTGACCGCATAATTCGACGATTCTACGCCGCCGTTCAGTTTCTTCCTTCTATTTGTTGATTCCTTATTTTTTTGTTGATTCTTTTGCTTCTCGAAATTTGCTGGGGATAAGGTATTTCCGCGGCGAAGGTTTTAGCCGAAAATGGGATTGAGGACTTGGTAATTTTGGAAGCTACGGATCGTATCGGCGGAAGGATCCGGAAAGAAAATTTCGACGGCGTTTGCGTCGAGCTTGGAGCCGGCTGGATTGCCGGCGTTGGCGGCAAAGAGGCTAACCCTGTTTGGGAGCTGGCTGCTAATTTGGGGCTCCGCACTTGCTTCTCGGATTACAGCAATGCCCGTTATAATATTTATGATCGAAGGTAATTACAATGCCTGCCCTCTGCTGAAACGAAGAGGAGAAGTATTATCCTAATCTCGATTGCCTTGTTTGTGTTTGTGAAAAGTTCTGAGACGTCGTCCTTCCTTGGTTGTTTGCAGCGGGAAGATATTTCCCAGCGGTTTGGCCGCTGATTCTTACAAGAAAGCCGTGGAGTCGGCTATGGAGAAGCTGAGGAAACTACAAGCCAATCAAGCTGGCGAATTAATCGAACCAACTTGGTGGTAAATTAATCCAATATCATGATCCATCCTTGTTTCATTTATTGTTTTCCCCTTTTTCCTTAAATTCGTGGTTGATGGCTCTTGCTGCTGCGAAAGTAATATAATATTAGGTCCGAAAACGATGTAATGAAGTTGAATTGTCTTTCTTGTTGGTGTTTTCTGCTCGTCCAGCACACCAAAGACGCCTATTGAGCTCGCCATTGACTTCATCCTCCATGATTTTGAGATGGCAGGTTGGTTTTGTGGTGAATTCTCTTATTTATCTCACCGTTTCTGCCTGCCTGCCTGACTTATGTGCAATATGCTTCCGTTTTTTTTGCAGAGGTAGAACCGATATCAACATTTGTCGATTTTGGAGAGAGAGAATTCCTAGTTGCAGACGAAAGAGGGTATGATTATTTGCTGTACAAAATGGCCGAGGAGTTTCTTTTAACATCAGAGGGTAAAATCTTGGACACTCGCCTCAAACTCAACGAGGTACAAGAAGCTCATTCTTTGTCCATCCACCCTCTTTAATACTGAAAATTTGAACCTGCTTTGATCTTTCTTGTCTGCGTGCGACCGATCTTTCTGTTCGCTTCTGTGTTGTTTTGTTCACTGGTGCGTACCTAATCATAAACAAAATACAAGGAATTGGATGTGTGAGTAAGGGCTGAGGGGACTGGCTGTGGCTGATAGATGGAGAAGTATGTATGTGAAATCATTTAAACCCAAAAAGCAAAGGAAATCTATGTTTTTCTATTGCTTCACTGCTTTCTTTTTCTCTAAACTGTGAGCTTTGTGGGAGCCGCCGTGGTTGGAGTTTGTGGATAAGGAAGTTGAACAAAGTCATAACGTTTTGCTTCTCTTTTATTGTATTAGTAATACCCACCCACCCACGCAGGTCCTTTTCTGCCTTTTTTAACACTTGTGTGCTCTCTTCATATTCCTCAAGGGTCTTTTCCAGATATTTCCTTTCTCTGGCATTTTGTGCTACCATGTAGATGTGATGCAATTGTCCAACTGTAGATGAAGTAGACTTTTCCCCTCCGTGGATTCTTCACATTAGCTACTGGACTTGATTTGTGGTAGCCGTGAATAAACCCTTTAGCCTTCCTACCCAATGAATTTGATAATCCCTTTCTAGTAACTAACTGTTCTACTAATGTATGATCATATATGGTAGCCGTGAATACTTAACTGGTATTAAATGTGCACATCACTTGGTGAATATTTCTTGATCTGACTTCACAGAATCCTATATGGGTAGTTGGCTTCTTGAACAGTGCAATTGGTTCTCACGCTCTCTCATGCTATCTGGGTAGTTGGTGATTTGTTTGAAGGGTTATTCACTTTTTGAATGGATGATGATTTCTTGCATGGATTTGGGACAGGTTGTCAGGGAAGTACAGCACTCGAGAAACGGCGTTATTGTTAAAACAGAGGATGGTCGCATCTACGAAGCCAATTATGTGATTATGTCAGCTAGTATTGGTGTTCTCCAAAGCAATCTCATCTCGTTTTCGCCTCCGTTGCCCGTATGTCTTCTCTTCCTTTATTCATTTATATTCCATACCTTCCTAATTGCCAATCACCATGCATGGCCGGCTTGGTCCCGGCTAAAATAACACGGAGAAGTTCCATTTTATGTTTGTTTTAGTCATTGGGTTTCTCCCATTTCGATCTCCATAGTAAAATGAAAAGAATGTGTGTCACAATTTGTACAATTGAACATGTCTTCGAAACAAGAACAGTAGGCAACAGTCATGTTGAATTTAAAACTAGCAGAGGGGAAATTGATAATGATTGCGTAATATGCTTTTCGCCTTGCTTACATTTGAGGTACTTTGCAATTTGTTGGTTATAATATTAACACATATATTTATTTATTTATATAATGAATGATGCAGAGGTGGAAAACAGAGGCTATAGAGAAGTGTGCTGTGATGGTATACACCAAGATTTTCCTCAAGTTTCCTTACAAGTTCTGGCCATGCGGCCCCGAGAAAGAATTTTTTATCTATGCTCACGAGCGGAGGGGATACTACACATTTTGGCAGGTTGGTATCAATCTCCCTGTTCTCCCTGGCAAGTTGATCCAATTGCTGTGATGGACGCACGGATGTGCCATATGACATCTATCTTTGATGTGTTCTAGTTGTTGTGATTCCTTTCTTTCGAAAATCTTTTTTTTCTAATCAAGTTAGGTTAATATTCTTTGACATCTCAAGTGATAGTTGTCTCCTTGTGCAGCTTGCATAAACGCCTTCTGGCACGAATAAAGAATGAGCTTCCATGTTCTTTGCCAGAGGCATTATTTTTGCAAATTCTTTATTTTATTCCCAAGGACCATAAACCTTCCATGACCTAACTTCCAGATGCATTAATCATCTAGATTAGATCTCATATGTATATCTTCTGTTGGAGTCACTAGGATATTAACGTTGTCTTTCGGGCGGAGCACATACGAGATGTCAGATTAGCTTATCTATGGACTATGGTCTATGGTTGGGTGTGAAGTAACAAACATATGCCTGCTCATCGTTAATTCGCTAAGCCTTATTCCCTACCTGATCAAACACTTTCTGACTGTCTGGTTGCTGTGTGTGTTATCCTCAGCATATGGAGAATGCATACCCAGGTTCCAATACCCTGGTCGTAACCCTGACAAACGGCGAGTCCAAACGTGTGGAGGCGCAATCAGATGAAGAGACGATGAAAGAAGCCATGGGAGTACTTAGGGACATGTTTGGGACCGACATTCCAGATGCCACAGATATACTAGTCCCTCGATGGTATACCAACAGATTCCAACGTGGCTGCTATAGTGATTACCCTATGATTTCCAACAACCATGAAATCCAGAAGATTAAGGTGCCGTCCCCTATTGCTGCTAACCCTTACTAAAATAGCTCATTTCTCAACTGTTGATTACCTAAAACGCTTGCCTTTCGCTTTGACCGTTCAGGCCCCGGTAGGACGAGTCTTCTTCACAGGTGAACATACTAGTGAAAGGTTTAGTGGTTATGTTCATGGTGCATACCTTGCAGGTAATGAACTGAACGAAGGGATTCACTGATGTAACAAATCCTTTTGGGTCGGCTGATCTCGGAAATGATGTTTTTCTTCTTATTGTTTCAATTTTTGACAGGTATCGAAACGAGTCAGTCAGTAGTAGAAGATATCCGATTACTCAAAGAAAGGGAAACAGAGAACCAAACATTCTTGTTAGAGCCTTTCCTTGCTTCCTTAACTCTCTCACAGACGGAAGCCGTCTCAAATATGCACAAATGTGACATCCCGGCACAACTTTGTATCAGCAGCAATCTCGGCTTGTCGGAAGCGATATTATGACTATATGGACAGACCAAAGCCTTCCAAGTTGATAATGATGATGAGACTGAAAACAGAATGACCGATCAGATAGGTGGCCGGAAAGCTGCTTCCTCAGATGCACATGCAGCTGAGGCACTGCAAACTATCACGAGTCAGATGGAGAAGCCACCAGTGTTGGGATGCTTCCAAGACACTTCACAAACTTGATGCCTGCCAGATAACAAAGTGAGTGGTCGCTTATAATGCTTGCTTGGGATGTATTTGCCTCTGCTAAATTGTCAATCCGACGAAGTTGGTTATTGATCTTGGTGCTTTGGGAAGCTGTTTTGAGGATGTACTTCGACATTTTGTTATAAAAAATGCTATAACGTAGATATAGCGCCCCTCAGAGGTATTGCACAGCGATCATATTTGTACTGCATTACTTGTTCGTTATAAACAGAACCTGATATGTCTAATATTGAAGCTATTTCTTATTAGTCTGTATCTATGACATCATGTTTTGTTTTGAGAGATCAAACTGTGAGCAAGCTCCAATGCTTAAGCCGAACAAGATTAGGACTGTGATTAGTAATTCCATTCAAATAGGTCTAGTTTAGAAGTCTTGGCACATAGAAAGAACATGAAAATTACCCGTGCAAGATCCAATCATTTGTGAGAAATGTTATTATAAATTTATTTGGTTGAGTTCTGTATTCTTCAACTTATATCAGTTCGGTTGGTTATCATCTCAGGTACTTTTCATACAGCGCTCTCGAGATCGAAAGAGCATCCCCTTGGGCTTTCACTGGATAGAGATTTGAACCGGCTTGCCATTTGTTTGATAATTCTATCCATTTCGACCCTCCAATCCATCAGCATGAATTGTTCCTTCTCCAAGCTGTTTATCAGCTGGCTAAAGAAAGTTGAAGCTCTGGGAAGATAATAGTCTTCTAGCAACCCGCTCCAGAATATTTTGGCTGCATCAAGGATTCAAGTTCAGTGTCAAAGCTTACAAAATTTGAATATAGATGTAGAAAAGGAGGGTTAGATAGAGTTTCTTAGTTACCATAATCATGAAGCTTGCTCTGAAGAGCTGCTGATGTATCATACCACATTGTTACTTGTGTTCTCGCTTCCCACTAAAACAAAGAAATATAGCCAAAATCACTGGTCGCAAAATTGGCTACGACACCGACTCTGATCTCGATGTTACTGAAAATCTTACCAGCTTACTGTCCACTGAATTTGAAGCCAGTGCCTTTGAGGTTTCAAGCCATGCCTCAAGCAGAAAATGATCATCCGAAGCAAGAAGCACATCATTGTCCTTGATAAGCTCTAGGTCCACCAAGTCATATCCGTAACATTGTAATCTACGAGCAAGTACAGAAACATAACTAGTGGTTCCAAGATGCATAGGACATGAGGCTCCAAAATAATGACCTGTAAGTGAGACTGCCATTTTACTCTGTCTCCCCCTTTAAGGAATAGTTGCAAGGCTTTCGTTGTATCACGATTCGAGTACCACAAGTGTGCCTCTGGGAAATCGGAACTCCTCTGTTGTTGGAATAGTTGCAAGGCTCTCATTTCATCTCCAAGGAAGGTATGTAGCTCGTCCTGTTTCGATATGCTCTGCCTAGGATTCGCCCATGGATCCCAGTATGGAAATTTTACTATGAAGTCTGTGTTATGGTCCTGCAAAGACATTTATCAAGTCCGGGTAGGATAAAGTAATGTTAAATAGTACGTAGTGAGGTTATCATGTTAAGACACCGGGAATGTACAACAATTCCTCACGGTTTTTGACTTGGGGTGCAATTCAAAATGACTTCACATAAGGTCACTCATCCTTATTGTACTCCACGCTGAACACATTTAACTTCGGAGTTCTCATAAGAATCACCCCAAAATGCGTTTTGTCAGTTAGGACCGGTTTCTTAATTATGAACCATGGATCTCTCTCGTGCTTTGTCGATATGGGATTTGCCTAAGGTGTTACATACACCCCCCTTGGGACTCAACGTCCTCATTGAGGTATGCCCCACCATCGTTCAAGAGGGACGCGAAGAGGCTCTGATACCACTCATAACATCCCGAACCATTTCCTAACGAAGATATTGTCCGCTTTGGGCCTCGACCCTCACGGTCTTTGAGTTGGGGTGCAATTGAAGCTGACTTCCCATAAGGTCACTCATCCTTGTTTTACTCCACACTGAGCACGTTTAACTTCGGAGTTCTCACAAGAATTCCTCTATTTCACCCCAAAACTCGTCTGTAACTTTATCATTTTTGTCTGTAACTCAGGCCTTGGGAGGCAGAATCGATTCCAGAGGTTACGGCCGTAACTAGGCATCTACTACGTGTATAAATGCATTTTTGCGGGTTTTAGACGAACAGAGCTGGGTTTTGGATCCCTAACACCCAAGGGACGAAGCCTAGAGTGAGAGAGCAATTTGAGGGCAATCTTGGAGCAGAATTGGAGGATTTCTTTGCCTAGAAAGCTCGAAGAACAAGCCCAGACATAAATATTGAAGATATGAAAAGTAACACTGCATGCTCTGTCTTCTTTATGGAATAACTTCCCTTAACTTAGGTTTTGATGAATCCTAGCTATGTTTGTTTGATTGAATGATTCTATGAGTACTGGTACTTGATTATCTTGAGTTCATATTCAATCTATGCATGTTTGGATGTTCAATTATGCTTTAGTTGATATTATAGATTCTTCTTTGATTCTATGAGAGGGAATACTTGATTAGGTTAGGAGAGCACCATAGGTTGATAGTAGCCGATTGATTGCTTGAATAGTAAATTGATTCCTTGCTATGTATCGATTGAGAATCTCATTTTATAGAGGGAGTCTAGTGTAGAACACCTTGATCAGTTGTTCTAGAGAAGGATACGTCCCTCTAGGCAGTCGACTCAAGAGGGCCTTGATTGATTTAGTTGAGATTCAAAATTTAGTCAAAGACTGTTCGCATTTTGAAAGAAAGTGAATCAAGTTAGAGATCATTCGATCATTAATCCGGCTAGTGGCTAGGGGGAATCATACCTAAGTGAGTTCCCAACTTGTAATTAGTAGTGTAACCTAGTTTAGTTTGTAGAATAGTTTAGTTAATCAAACTTAATATGATTTTCTAGATAATGAACTAAAACATAGTAATAGTAACTCTAGAGACTCATGGATTCGATATTTATTAATTATTCCACTATACTACAATTCCTTTCATTGGTTACACTTGGCCATTGTTAGAAGTTGTGTTTTAGCGAGTCAAGAGCCCTTCAACTTGGAAGACTTGGAGCTATTTGCCAACATTTAAGATATGATTCCCGATTTCTCCTCTCATGGGGTTATTGTTTGGTGCTTGGTCTAAGCCCTTCACTTAGATTTTATTGAATTTCTAGTGACCTATGTCTATTTTATTGATTTCTTGCTTGTTCATGCCTTTATTTTGTATGAACGATGAGTTGGTGCTTGAACCATGAAGGCGACCATCCAATTGGATCAAGTTTTTACCTAAAATCAAGTAGAATAATTAGGTATCTACACAACCGTTGATTTACCTAGTTATGTTATTATGGGCTTGTTTATATGACAATAATTGTGCATATTCCTAGCTATAGTGGTCAAGTGCATGACTATTGGGTTGATTACCATAGCTAGGAGGAAAATTGGGAGCATCACCATTAACTCAATTGCCTTATTAGAAATTCTTGCAGATTAAATCCTAGAAAGGAAACAATTGAAGTTCATTATCACATTCCCATGAATTAGGTTAGGGGGAAAATTCCTAGGTACTCTCTCTTACTCTAGACTTTAAGATTGTAGGTTGTTAGTTGATAACTATGTCAGTTGCTAGACTACATAACAATACTCCATCACCAATCCAGGATATACTTGTCCTACATTGGACTTGCAAATAGAAGGTACCAACCAAGTCTCTTTTATTACTTCTCTAAATCGAATACATTTTCAAGATTAAGAAAGATGTCTAGTAATAAAGTAAAAAAACCATGGTCAAAGGTCGTATTAAACTCAATTGAGAAGATATGAGTATCAATCTTGTTGTGGTTAATAGCATTAAATATAGAAAATTCCTACAATACCTTGAAGTTATTGTAACTTGATGCTTTTGACGTGCTATAACAGGTTTCACAAGTCGCATTATGTAAAATACAATAGACATAACGTAAAGGTTACGTAATGTGTGTTTATCTTACGTGATAGTTGAAAATTGTCATTACGGAAACCTTACGTAATAGACACTCATTTTACGTAATGAATATTAACCTTTCGTTACGTAATCTGCCAAATCATGCAGGTCAAAAAGTTAAAGTTATAGTAACTTCAATGCATGGTAGGAGTTCCCTCAAATATAACCAATTTTATTGGCTAATTATATTAAATGGTAATAATTTGGGTCTAATACGTCATTTATTTTAATCTTCGTAATAAATATTGCTTACATGTATTATAGTTTTAGCTTAGTAGAATTTATAAATTATAAAGAAATAAATTATGAATATAATGTAGTAAATTATGGAGCTTTCTAAGTCATACATGCCAAAATTTTCTTAACAAACTTCATTATTTAAGTTAGGATTTGGAACTTCCTCCTCATCTCACTAACAACAACAAAAAAGAGAGAAAAGCTACTATTACGTCGAACTCCAAAATTCATAGAAACAACCTAAAGAAACTGATGGTGATGGACAGACAAAGAGAGAGATTACAACTAATATGTGGGCTCTTAACACAAATAAGTTTGTATGTGCTTTCTCCACCAACAAAATCTAGGAAGAGGACGTGAGAGAAAAAGAAAGAACTTGACTAGTATCTCTAAGTTAGGAAACTTCTAAAAATGACAGGAAAAACATTAACCACAACTTTATAAAACCCTTCTCATTTCCTCTCACAAATTTTATTGTGAGTACACATCTTCTTTCTAGCGCAAGCACTCGAAGTCCCCCTCTCTCTTTTTTCTTATTTTTCTTTTCCCTTCTTTGCTTTACCCTTTTCATTTTCCTTTGCCATTTCTTGGAAAGCTAATAATTCTTTCCAAGAAAGAGCATAATCAACCATGAGCAAGTACATGGAGATCTTAGACGTCGGTGTCAGAATGGCCGCGAGATTTCACTCTCATTGTCCTCAAACTGCTCGGTTGTACTACCACCCGCCCATTGATAACCATCACGAACAAGGCCGAATCAGTGTCGATTCTTTTGGAGGAACGACCATTAACAATGAGTGTGTAGCCCCATCAAGTTCTAGTGTTGCATCCAATGGGGCACATAATATTGTTATGGATGTCAAAGAGTTTGTTTTCCATTGTTCTATTTAATTGGAAGGAAAATGAGGGTAAAAGTGAAAATTGGGAAAAGGAAAATGGAAAAAGGGTGAAAAGAGGAGTTCAATATGTATAATTACTTTTTTATATATTATTGGAATAATTTTTTGAAGTGTATGCGTTAGAAAACTTTTTTAAATATTTTACAATGTAGGATTTATATTTTAAATATTTAGTAATTAATTCAATGATACTATTCACAATTATATTTTAATGTGATATAACTATCATGTTATCCATGTTTGATTGTGTATTACAAATTTTAGAAAATTAATAGGGCTAATTTCACTAGATCATCCCAATTATTAAATAAATGTCATTTATATCATCGAGTATTCAATATAATAATGCTAGCACAAACTTTTTTTTTTGTTTGGGTTGACCATTAATAGTTAATGATCAAGGAGTTAATCGGTGATGTGTTAGTTGGCAATTTGGCATTGTTTTAAAAGTGATTATGTGGTCGTGAGGTGCAATTATATTCACATATGATTTAAAATAAAGAGAATTTTATTTATAAAAAAAAGTTGAAGCCGGTCTTGGCACAAAGGGAGGGATGGGATAGCGTCACTTCCCCTATGAGGGTTGTGATTTCCGTTTTCCCCTTCTAAGCCGTAGATTCTCCTTCCGCATCCGATGGTTCAGAAAACAACAATGGCTTTGGTGTAATTAGGTTATTGGAGTGAATTTGAAAATAAAAAATAAATGGAAGGGGAAAATATCATGCAACGTGATTTGTGGGATAGATTGCCACTAACCATAACCGCCCGCATCTCTTCCCTTTCCATTCTCGAATTCTTTCCCTTCCATAATCGTCTGCGTCACTTCGTTGGAAATACCGAGTCGCTGCCACCGGTATACAATGGACGGCTACATGAGCCACGTCGATGGCATATATGGGGTGGGAGCTGAATAACCTTGTTTCTTTGGGTTCAAACCGAACGTCCCATACACAAGAAACGACGATGTGGTAGTTGAAGTGGCGGAGAATGGTGGTGATGTTTTCATGCTTGATGATGCCGGCGATTTGGACGTCGAGGACCTGCTCAACGAAGAGAGGGTGCAGCTAAGGAGATGTTTCATCATCAATGATGGTACCCTCCTTCTCTTCTATGTATAGCTAGTTCGAAATTGAGTGTTCTGAGAATGTGAACTGGTTTATCTGGGTATGTATTGATGTTATGATTTCATATGATCCTTGTGTTTATGCACATGAATTTTGATGCTTATGATGTATGCATGGATGCATTGGTTTCGATGCTTACGTGATGAACATAATTATTTATCTAATATTAACCCTTTCTTATCATTGATTCTTATTATTCTATAGTGTGCATTGTGCTTAGTATCATTTAGGTTGTTAAGAAATTACTCTATAGTGATACCCCATTGATGTTACACGAGTATAGAGGAAATGATCAATCATTTTATCTCGAGTAGTATCAATGATTGTTAGATCATTAATTATATAGACCAACGATGATGGCTCAAGAGGCCCACACTTCTCTTCTCTTCATTGAGTAGGTGATGGTATGAAGTGAAAGCACGCATTAGCTAGTCAAACTCTTAATGGCATGCGAAAGCTCAACTATGATGGTCTTAATAGAATGAATAGAGTTATGTTATAGATGAGTCATTGATTCATGATATTTATAAGGGTCGTTTGGATGAGTTGTTGTGTAACGAGTTAATATAAAAGTGGAATTCCTCACAAAATGAAAATGTGGTATTTGTGAGTTATTTCACAATAACTACCCCCTATGAGGTATTGACAATAACTCATTAATGAGTTATTTCACATTAACTCAAGTACAAATAACTCATCACCAACTTTTGTAGACAAACGGGTTATTTGCACCCAAATAACTCAAAATAAATTATTTGGGTGCAAATAACTCATACGAATAACTCATCCATACGACTCCAGTATTAATATATGTAATAGTACTAGAGTCTATTTTCTTGTTTAATAACGTATCTTTACTTCCCCAAACAATTTTACTCTTCTTACTTTGTGTCACTTTGCTTGGTTTATTTGAATAAAAATCCCAAGTCTTTATTATTCCTATACGAGCATGAATGGTATGGTGTGAGTAGTTATGCATTAGAAGACCTTGTGAAATACTACACTATCATAACGTGACGTGAGTAGTAGTATTGTTATTATCATTGTTATTAGTTATAATTGGGAATTGGGCTGCATAATTAGGTTTTAGTGTGGTTAATGGCCAGGTTTAGCTAATTAAGTATAGGTTTGTATGTTAGTATTTCGATTTATTTCCTACATATATATGTACTTCACATATGTAATAACTAATCAAGAAAAGTGTTATCAAAATATGTTCTCTAAACCCTATTCTTCTAATCTCTATTTTCTCTCTATTCAGGCCGCTGGCCATCTATCTTCTTCTTCCCCAATTCTTCTAATCTCTAAATCCCCAATTCGAGTGACCAAATGTGTAATTTAGCCATTCTATTTGAAACCCTAAATACTCATACGTCTTTCACAATATATACTGATCCCTTAATATTCAGACCAACAGGGACTACCAATTAGTTCATACCATGGTCCATGAAACCGTACCGTACCGACGGTTCAACCATGAAATACCAGTATCAGGAGGCTAAACCGGTAGACGGTATTTAACGGTACAACGGTTGAACTACGATAAGACCACGGTTTTACCATAAAATACCCTACCGATGACTTTTCCGATACGGTCTCCGGTACGGTTTCATGGACCATGGTTCATACAAGTCGACTACAGTTTGCATACAGGTACAGATTGTTTCAGTTGTTCATCAAAAAGCATCCAAAGCATAACAACAGAAAGAAAGAAAGAAAGACCCTTGGAATTGGATGGAGGCCACCATAATAGAACTCATTCCCAAGGTTATTTGCCAGGCTGCATCTAAAGCACATCAAAAGAACTTTTTCTCCTTCAAGCTTTCGACTGTATCTTTTATGCTAACCTCAAGAGGAGTGTATTTGATACCTAGGGCTTCGACTCTCTGTTTAGAAACCTGATATTTCGGCATTGGAGGCTTGTCATCTGCGCATCTGCCATGAATCAAACATTGAAACACATCAGTTCCAAAGCCCAATAAAGAAGAAAAAAAACACAAATGCACATCAACAATCATAAAAAAAAGTGGAAATTGGCAAGTTCTTGTCTCAACCAAAAAAGATCAAGTATTTTCCTAACTACATATCCTGCAGAAATCAAAGGAAATTACTCTTGAGGGATCTTAAGGTCTGGGAAAAGCCCATGTAAAGTCGCCACAACTTCGGAAGAGTGAACAACTGCTCCAACTAAACAGTATCTCCCACTAGCCGAGGGATTCTCAAGCGCGCAAATATGTGCATATGCAACATCTCTAACATCAACCCACCGGTAGGTTGTATTTGGATACTTCTCTGACCCTGCGACAAGATAATCCAAGTTTTACACGAGATTCATGTATAGGAATAAGATCAAAATGGAAGAGGGCACAAACCACAAATATGAATAAACAGCTATCCCAACACTAGAGATTAGGTACTACTTTTTTTTCTTATGGAAGAGATTAGTTAATACTTAAATGTAATCGGAACGACAGCAAAATCTGATGTTGTCGTGTACAAACATATTAAAGCCTTGGGAAAAGGCATGAATTACCATTAGAATTACTACAACCAAATAAAACAACTTAGGTCCTTCTTCATGTATGAACTCATAAGCAATGACTTGGCAAAAGATGATTACCCTTCACAAGGTTGAGAATTGACTCTGCACTTGTGTTCAGAGTGGGTTGTAAGAGAGGACCGATTACCAAACCCGGATTTAATGAAACCATGTCAAATCCAACCTCTTTTGTGAACTTCCAAGCTAGTTCTTCAGCCAATGTTTTGGAGAGCATGTACCACAGCTGGCACAGAAACAAACCACTGGTCAACATAGGGCAGACACATAAACTTCCAATCCATATGCACAAAGAAATGGGACAATGATGCCACCATCTGTGTCATATATCGCATCAAAACAAGAGATAGCATACAGACATGGAAGCATCCGTGTACCTTTGATTTTTCACAAAACTCGGCATCTGAAAACCAAGTCTCATCAACAACCACATCAGGAGCGAGAGTTCTGCCATTGAACACAACTGCTGCCATGGATGAGGTGATGACCACTCTCTTGATGGACGGGACTTTCATACATGATCTGAGCACATTAAGAGTTCCCTTCACAGCAGGGTCAACAAGTTCAACCTAAAATTAACGAAACATAAAACATCACCGAGAAGAAAACAGCGAGGGATCGTCAGATCATGGTAGAAAAGCATTAACATTGTTGGACTCAAGTACTATGCTCACAATGTCGCGAGGTAATTGGAGATGCTTCAAGAAAGAGAAAGTACCTGGGGATCAGTCACATTGAAATAAAATGGGGATGCTGTGTGGAAAACACATTCGCATTCCTCAACAATAGGATCAAACGAACCTTCATCCAGCAAATTAGCCTTGAACAGCTTCAGTCTTTCCTTGGCCCCATCAAGTGCAAGCAAATGTTGGGTCTTCTTGGCATCATCTGCAACAAACATAGACTTCAAATCCATGACCATAACTACCTGCAAATAGCTCAAGTTCTTAATTTTTTAATCTCTTTCGTGCCACCAAAATGGGGGGCTAAGAACTAGCTCCCTAACTAGCTCACTTTCATCAACATTCCAAGGAAGTCATATGCCGCCTTAACAAATTTTTGTCCGCGACCATACAATCAAGTTGAAGAGAAGCAAAGTCACGTGTAGCAATTCAAAGTTGATTGACCACAATCATAGAGCGACAGAAAAAATTCGACTTTTAACCTCACATGATAAATACCGAACAAAGTTCGCTGGAGAAAAAAAGATGAATCAGTTGAAGATGAAGCTCCAAATTGCCAAACAAATTACAGCAAACAAAGAAGAAAAGGGTGATTCTCTCTTGTTCAATATTCACTTGACCAAGCGATTCTCTCTTGTTCAATACTCACTTGGGTCACGCACCGAAGCTTTCACAGTGTATCCACGTTGAAGCAGTAACTTCACCAGCCAGGAGGCGATGTAACCCGAAGCTCCAGTTACACAGACCACCTTCCCTTCTCCGCTCATCGTTTCACCCTTTCAGACTTACAAGAGTCGAGACAGTTCAATGTCCGGACAGGATCGGCCGAGTCTCCGACAAGTCGATTTCAAGGGAGAAAGAAAATGAGATGAGAAGGAAAGAGAAGAAGGGTAAGATACCGAGAAAAAGGGAGAGCGAGAGCGAGAGCGCGATTATTATATTATATTATTTTTAATTAATTTTTTTATCCTTACAAAGTACTTAGGGGTCGTTTGGAAGTTGCGAATGTTAAATCGTTGCATTATAATGAATCACCATAATATAATGCATGTATTGATACAATTGATGCATTTTAACAATATATTGTTTGGTTATTGAGATTCTACTTTATGTATTGATTTACATAAAGTTACTTTTATGGGGAAATGCCACATTTACCCTCAACTTTTAGAATAAGACAAAAACTATTAGGGATATAAATGGAAAGAAAAAATTGACACAAATCTAAAACCAACAATCATAACAATCTCAACTTTTAGTTGAGATTGTATAATGCATTATTTTTTGTGATTGTTGGTGGGACCTACCTAAAACAATGCATGTATTCGACAAACACAACTCTAACAATCACAACTTCCAAACGACCCCTTAATAACAAAATAGTATATAACATAAAGAGCACTACACTTTAAATAGAAAAAAAATTCATTACGTTCGGAGTGCGGAGCACAAAGTTATGACCGTCCAAAATTTGGCGAAATTGGGAAAAAGCTCGTTCGGGGTAGCAAACGACCAGTGCAGTCAAAATCGCGCATTAAAACGTAAAAACGTGCCACCAAAACGTTTCAGTTTCTACCTAAAGTCGCTTAGTCACAAAAATTGGTAAGAACATGGATAAAATCGATAAAATCGCTTAAAGTTGCGATTCTGAAGCGTTTTATACGATTTTGATCATCTCATAAAAATGTGCTAATTGGCCCAAAATGATGTAATTTTGGAGACATCAGCAGAAAATAAAAAAGGAAAACATGATTCATCACTCGTTCTACAACTAGTGTCGAGATAGGGGCTTCACATTAGGTTGAAAACACACGTAATGGTATTCTCAACAGTCGCTGACCTTCTATCAGTCTTCTCCCTTAATCTTCACCTATGGCTCTTACCTAGGTTACGATAAAAGTTTATGGGTAATTGATCGTATGTAATTATGTAAACTCAAACCAGCTTATGAGAATTTGGATTCTCAAGCTCGTTTACGGGTTACGATCTACGTTTATGAGTTTTCTCTACTTTTGAGTCAACACAAATTAGTTTATGTGTTAGATATTACATTTTAATTATGAATTTCATGTTGTACTTAACATATTTTAGCTATTTTACATACTATATGTTGTACTTAACATATTTTAGCTATTTTAGAGGGTGCGTCAAAAACTTACGCTTTTACGCTTTGATTCTACGTTTTACGATTTTACCCATTTTTCGCTTCTAGGTAGAATCGCTCTTTTAACTGCATTGCAAACGACTTTTTCGGGAAGGGCGGGACCAAACCGTCTGTGACTTGCAAGATCTCGAAAAATTATGCGGAATAAAAAAAAAATCACTACGATCAGATACCCGAGTTTAAAGTTAAGTTCGTTTGGAAAATTGAAAAAGCATTAACATATAATAAAATAAAACTGAAAGGAAAATTAAAAAAAGCATCCATCCACTAGGCTATCTAGATTTATTGTTTTGAATACGTGAAAAAACACATAACAAACTTCCATCCACTAGACTATCTAGATTCATTGTTTTGTATTCGCGAAAACAAATTATATACATACAAACCGTAGGGGGGCATGCGGTTTGCATGTGAACCGCTGCTTCCCCACGTGGTTTATCAGACCGCTCCCTCCCAATGCGGTTTTCATAAAAAAACCGCACCCTCCCCAAGCGATTTTCGGGAAAATGTGGTATTTTAGAAATTTTTCGAGAATGTATAGTATTTTTTGAATTTTTTTCCTTTTTAGTGGTATTTCTGGAAAAAATCCGGTTTTAGGCCTACATATGAACGTTAAGTAAAATTGAAGCAAAGATTGGGCAGCACGAGTGTGGGAGAGGAACTAAAATGGAGTTCAGGATCTCCAAGTCCAACCAAGGCTTAAAGCTGCTGCCTTTTTCGGAAAAATGAAGCTCTTTACAAGAGGAAATATTGCAAGAGATGCTCGATTTTCAGAATGACAACAGCATTCCGGTCTTACGATTCTGTAGCAGCCATATCTGGACAAGTTGCAATAGAGAAAGGTGAACGAAATCAATTCATCTTTCATGGTCCAATGAGAGGAACTGCATCATATATTGAATAAATTCAATAGGCAAGAGGAACAAACACAAAAACATGTGCCTAGAGTTTGAAGATGAGACTACAACATGCAGAGGAAGGAGCAACATACTTCAGATGAAGCTGTTGTCTTTGATTAGCTAAATAGAATTCTCCCAGAAGAAGGGACCTTGATACTATGATTCATCCACATTGTTCATCCCTGTATTTCTAGTCCAACGTTGAAAAGATAGGAACATAGAAGGGTTCAAGTAACAGGCTCAAATCATATGTATTCCATTCAATCATTCAAGTCAACTTGAACTTCAAGGATGTGATGTGATGTGTAGACGAAAAAGTTCATTTCTACTAATGTTTCAATCCTTTCTAAGCTTGTTCCTGGTTTAGTAGGTAATTTTCTGTCGAGCTTCCGAAGTCCCTATGTTTCAGAAAGAAAATCAAGTCCTAAAGACGCTATGACTGGAAACCCCAAAAGCTTGGAAAGATATCGCAAAAGGGCAGAGTCAGATAGACTAAATCTACGAATTACGTACTCAGATTCAAAGACGGTACAATATATTCCACCTTTCAAGATGGTATGTATCACCAAACAAGTCCTTCCTGGAGCCTCATTTCACCACCCAACTATTCCTTGTTCCCGGAGTTAGAGGCTTCTGCCTTGACAACACTGAGCTGACCACCTTCTTTGTTTGCCATGGTTGCTGCTTTCACCTCATTACAGCGGTTAATGAACTTGGTCAGCTCCTGCCATTCATTCACATTACAAAAAAGATTAGTTTTTTACATGCAGGCAGAATGCAGAGCGGTCCAAGCGTGGAATCAGAACAACAAGGGGGAAAGATGATGAACATTGGGGAAATAATCACCCGGTTCATCTCCGTAGAAACCCACTAAACCCCTACGAATCAAAGGAGCTTTACAGCAATGAAAAATAGTTCCTTTCAAGACACCCTCCCATTTTCAAAGAGTGTGCAGCTGAGATTCCAATACATTCTTTGGAACATAATGAATAACCCAGCTCTAGCAATTTCAAATCAAACCACCGCATCCATGTTCAACAACGTCAAATGAAAATAATAGTTCCATTGAATGATACTGAATATAACTGCAGCGATCGAAACATTAATCATAAAAAATTTCCCCCATATCCGCACAATGTGGGCAAGCCAGCAATCAACATTCCGGCAGGCAGGCCCTGCTTGTTTGAAGCGGATACAGGAACAATTATAGCGTCAGCTCATACTCAACGTCTACTTTCAGTAATCAGACGGCGGTAATCAGTTTATTGACGCAAAATTGAAATGGCCAAGCAAGTTGCAAAAAAAAAAGAAAGACGGGATTAACTCAGGGCTGTGATGCGACTTACTCTGTCCGCATCCATCTCCGACGTCATCTTTGACGGCTTCACAACTCTCTTTCCTGCGGAAGAAAAAACCCTATCGAAGAGATGAGAAATCCCTACACTTTTAACGGATAGTCTGGGGAACGAAGATAATCAATTAGGTTGAAATAAAACGGAAAGCGAACCTTTGCGATTCTTTGGAGCCTTGCCATGGCGGCTGGGAGGAATGGTTTTCTTCTTCTGTTGGCCTTTGAAGAGGCCAGCCTTTTGAGTCATTATCCTACTCTCGGAGCGAATGGTTAGGGTTTACCACTGGAGTTTCGTGGCGTCTGTTCTATGGTGATATCTAGGGTTTGGGGCTGCAGCTTACTCTGTCCGGGTTCGGAGATGAGCGCTACCTGTTAATATATAAGCTTTTCTGAATCGCTATTCGTCGCCCTAAAATTCAAATTTTATCGCCCTAAAACACAACAAATTGACACATTTACCCTTCAGTTCAATTTCAATTCTAGCCCTAACCAAACAATCCCTTCCTCACCGCCGACCAAACATCCGCCGCCCTCACCCAGAATCCACTTTTGCTTCCTGCCCCAACCCCAATCTGCCGCAGCTAACTGGGAGAAAAAAATTGCAGAAGTTTACGAGGAGCTCGATATTCCACTTTCGCTTTCTTGAATTCAACTCTTGCCTGAAATAAAGTCCAGCGCATAAAGTTCACTATGAGTTGGACGATGATTAGCAGATATCTAGGGTTTATCCAATTTATATATATATATATATATGGTGGCGTCTTCGGTGCACTCACTTTTTTGGGTGCATTCAGTGCACCCGCTTCATAACCGTCATTATAAACATGCGATTTATGTCAAAATGATGTCAATCATCACTTATGATGTGATGAACAATAACGCACATGAATTTGCACAAAAAACATTGAAGATTTACTTTAATTTGAAGGATTTCGAGTTTAGAGATTTAGGGTTAGGGTTAGGGTTTACAATTTGGGGTTTAGGGATAGAACTCGAAATTGGAGGTCTAGGGCTTAGGGTAATCCGCTAATTAGTTGTTATCATATGTTATATTATCATATTACACAATTCTACAAATTAAAATTCAAAATCAGACAGCTTAAGCGTAGTTTTTTAGGTGGGTGCATTGAACGCACTCATTTTTGTGAGTGCACCGAAGTAGTCACCATATATATATATATATATATATATATATATATATATATATGGATACGACTCGTATGCTCCTGACACATACGATGCGTCAGGTCTTTGCACCGTTGATCTAATCTAACGGTCATTATAAATTATGATAAAATTAATAATTATAATTACTACTTGCACCCCTTAAATAATTATATGTGCTATGAAGTCCCCAATAATAATTATCATTCTGTTTTCTCGTATGATACCTTATTTTGTCAAAGATTTATTATTGAACACCCAAAAATTATATAATTGATATAACAAAGGTACATTAAAATGTGCCACAATTCCACCATCCTAACAGACCATTATCATCGAAACCACCTCCCCTTAATAACATAATCCCTCATACCCCTAATTGCACCATCGTCATCAAGGGAACCTAGTGAACCCACTATCCTAATTTAACAGTCATCATCAAAACACCAGCAACCCCTAAAAAGTAATCAAAATATATTATGTAAACATCAGCTGTGAGCCTGTGAGTCTTCCCTTTTTCCCTTGAATCATCGGTGATGCATTGTTATCAGTCAAAACCCATAATACCTACCCTGACAATCGGAAGAGCCGTTCTCATTAGTGGTTGATGTCATCATCCAAGCTACCCCAATACCTACCCCATCGTCATCGTGAAAGGCCATCGAATGCAGCTTCGATTCTCAATGATTCCCGCATAAACCCACGCCGGTTGAATCCTACGGCTTTGAGTTTGAAATTCCCAGGGTTGGATCACACGATGAGTTGGGCTTGTTGTGATCAATTACAGTGAGTGAATGCTTGTGAATTTGTTGATGCGGCTGCGGGATCCGAGCTCCGGCGGATAGGAGGTTCAGTTAGTCGGGATTTATCCCTAGGGAGGAAGTCGATCGGGGCGGCATTGGGGTTCAACGTGCTTGACTGGAGAGGGGAAAATGATTGGTTCGTTGATTATTCAGGATCTTGCAGTGAGGAAGGAGATTTAGCGGGGATGTGGATCTGTTTCCTCGGAAAAACCAAATGCCACCGCCGGTGCCGAATTCGTTTCCGGCGATGTTGATTCGATGTTTCGCGATGGAAACTCTTGCGGTGCCGCTAATCGAATGCACCGCTGATTGCTGAAATCGAGACGACCGTCAAATATCCGCCGCCGAATGTCGGCGCCGTTGATTTGATCGATGCACCTCTAAATGGTGAAATCAACGTGACCGTCAAATATCCACCGCCGGGCGGTGTTGATTTGATCGATGCACCTCTGACTTCTAACCAAGAACGACCGTTACTACGGTTCGCACCTCTCCAAACTACGTTCGAACGAGGGTGTTTGAGTTTTGAGGAATCTACGCTACCGCTACTCCTATGGAGATTCCTGTGGAGAGCTCCGCGACTACGACTACTTCTACCAACTATGGAGATCCTTCCTGGAAGGAGAGCTCCGCGAAGGAGTTACAGAGAAAAGGTAAAGTTTTGACAGAGTTGTTCTGTGTTGATTTGGTCGTCCCTTCTCTCTCCTTGCTCCACTGCTTTTATTCGAAAAACTGCTTCGTAGCCTTCACGCTCGGTGGAACCGCTTCCTCAACTGCTCCGTTGTGAAATCCCACGTGTCTCAACTGCCTTGATCTCCTCTTTCTGCTTTGCGTAAAAATCACGTGCCATCGAAACCGCTCCTGTTTGCAGAAACTTGGCGAAACGACATTGAGCCAAATCCTACAACCTTGTCCATGCAACGATGTCGTTTCACCAATACCGCGGCATCACCTTTCACTAATCGATGCTGACAAATTAAACAATGTCGTTTTCCATTCCGCGACATTGTTTCTTTTTCAACCAAACGGCACCGTTGTGCTTGCCAGGCCTCGCCAAAATCCAAACCATTGTGGTATGGTTTTTAACTAAACGACACCGCTTAGTGATACTGCGGCGTTGTTGATGCCTTAAACGGTGTAGTTTTTAACTAAGCAGCACCGCTTGATTCTACCCGCGACATCGTTTTAACATTAAACGACTCCGCTTCCAGCCTTGCGGTGTCGTTTTCTTTCCCAACCAGCTCCGTTTGTTTTTTCTTCTCGCGACATTGTTTTTTATTTAAACAATGTTGCTTGCTAATCCGCGGTACCGTTGGGCTTACTCGCGGTACCGTTTTACTCATCCGCGATGCCGCTTGTCTCCATGCGGTACCGCTTCTCCCTTTCCGACAAGGAAAAACAATAATAAAATAAAACTCCTTCTCCAACACCACGCGCGGCCCTCTTTTATTTTCATTAAGCGGTGTCGTTTCCCATGCCGCGGTACCGCAGAGCTTCCTTGCGGTACCGTTTTGCTGTTTTGCGGTATCGCTTTGACTCTCCGCGACACCGACACCGTTTTTTACCCGCGGTGTCGGATTAAATGCCGAAACTCATTAATACGGCATTTAATTCAGGCCAAAAATATTTTAGGTGTAAACAATGCCCCCCACAACTTAGTTTATAAGAACCGGTTCTTATGAACTAAGTTGTTGAAACAATTTAAATCACCTAAAATATAATCAACTTGCAACTCAACCACTAATTCCACAAACAACATTGTGTCATGTAAATGTGCGGCCAGACTTGCAAAAATTACCAAGTTGCTTAATCACAATTTGTTTCCAAGACACTAGTTCACCATCGTAGCATGGCCAAGCATAATTGGTTTGTGCTTCTATTATTTGAGAAACAACGACCATGGTATCCCAAGTAACAACGTTGCGGGCCTACCCTCTGCATTGCTGTTGGAGTTCGGCAACACTGTTTGGTATAAACGACAGCATTTTATTTTTTCACTTTGTCGAGCCTCGCAGCACCGCAGCAGCGGCTCTGCAATGTTGAATAAGCTACGAAACGATGGTGTTTCATAATATATTATTATTATTATTATTTTTTTGGCCGCAAGGCTGAGGCAAACTTCACAACACCGTTTGAGAAACTATTTTCCTCTCGCAGGCCTGTGGCATTGCTGGGCCCGCTCTTTCCTTTCTACCCAGCAACCTTGTTTGTAGCAGCTCTGTAAAAAAAAGAAAATTTATTCCGCAAGCCATTGCCTGCAACACTGCGGCAAGTTCACTGCGGCTTGGACTTCTTCTTTTTTTTATTATTATTTAAAATACCACAATACACAACTCATGAAACGACCACCGTACCGCAACATCTTTTCCTGCAACGTTGTTGATGATAAAACAGTGATGTCTTATTTTCCTTCAGCAACTTTGTTTTTCCTCCAACACCGCCACTTTGTCCCAAAGCACATGTGTTTTACTGCTTTAAACCCTTTGGCCCTACTTAACCAAGCTGCGGCCTTTTCTTACTATTATTATTAATAATAAAATTTTCTTTTAACAAATTTGGGTAACCAGCATTGCAGACCCACTAGCCAACAACGCTCCGGCCTTTCATTATCTAGCCGACCCTTTTATTTATTATATTTACCTTATTTATTGCGGCTTAGAACACAACATTAGCCAAACGACACCGTCTTTGCCGATGTTTCTACAGCCCCGCGATGCTGTTTTGAACTCCCTGCAGCTGCAAAGCTGCTTTGGCCCCCGCAATGTTGTTGTAGATAAACAACAATGTATTACTTTTTGTTTTTCTCTACACGATGTTGTTTGTCCAACAATGCAACTCTCTTTCCCAGTGGTGTTGTCTTGGCATTATTATTTCAAATAGAAATAAAACCCTTTTTTTTTACAACGTTGTGTTTTCCTTAACGCTGTTGAGAAAAGAGAAAACAACACCGCTGGTCATCTTGAAACTGCCAACCACGTTGTGGCTTCTTTTTAGCGATGCCGCTTGATATATATTTTTATGATATTTTTCTATAACATATTACGTGGCCTAATTTAGCCACATTATTTATATAATAATAGCTAAACAAAAACAGAGTTGGCTTTGGCATAAACCATCCTGCCAAAAGTCCACACCCACTGCCAACTCCAGAGATCAAACCAAGCAAGCCATCCGTAAAGTCCATGACCAATCAGAGTTGGCTCTACACGTGCTGACTTCGATGTTTCAAAGTCAATATTGGATTGCAACCTTTCAACTTGTCTAGCTCGACCATCTTTGTTCAAAACTCCATGATCCTGATTTGGCCTAATCTTAGCTTCGCGGAATGGAAAATCATAAGCATTCTTGGCTTTAGACAAGACATTCTCGTTCTTTGGCACCT